CAACTTTGATCCTCGTCATTGTTCATTTTGCTACAGCTATCAAGCGATTAAGAACTGATCATGTTGGTTGCAACTATGCGTAAGATCCGAACGGACCTTCTTTCTCTGCGCAACTCGATTGACCAAGTGACACCGAGCCAATTCTACAAGCGACTCCGCTCCGTACAATGCCGTATGGAAGCTGTCAAATCGCAAGTTTTAACACCCCGTTGGCTCTTGTACGACGTTGTGAATTTGCAAATCATGAGCGAAGCTTTAACGATGTTTGTTCAGCGCGAAAATCCTTCACAGAAGTCAAAAGCATAAAATATCATATCTCGTATTGCATTTCTTGATGTAAAAATTACTGCACCCGCAAGGTGTCGAACCACGTACCTCTTCGACGTCATGTCGAACCGAGGTGTCACTGCGTAAGTATTTAATCGCACGTGAACTATAAAGACTGGCTTGTTTGGTACACTAAATGTACTCACGAACATTCTTTGGGAATATCTCATCCACTTTCAGAACCAATACTTTCAAAATTTGAGCCTATGATTGGATCGCATTTTTCCAAATTTGAGATTTGAACCGATTTCGTGTGAATTGAACTTTATAGATGTGATGAAACACTGCACTCGTCGCCTTGGATCCCCCCGTGCCTCGTGTCGAAGGCTGGACGGGACCGAGGACAATTCCGCTCCGTCATACCGACTCGGTTCCCCGAAAGAGCAGAGGGGCATCCTTTATCATGCAAACCACGTGCTATACACAAACCGTAACGCTCCTAACGCGTCACACCGTTTGTTGTTTGATAGTTTATCTTTCTCTTTGCGGAGGGTGTTCCATATTCGGGCACCATTGCCTGGACCGTGATTCATTCAGGTCACCAGGAAGCCGTTTGTACGTTGCGGCGAAACTGGGCGGCTGCCCATGGTCTTCCATGGCATTCCAGACAAATCCCATCGCACCCTTTTCATCGCGTTGATCGAGCTTGGATCGGATGTGCGTGCCGACGACAGCGCCGAGATGTTTGCCCCACAAATACTCCTTTTGTCGTATAAAGTCTCAGCGAACGAGCAAATCGTGATGGGATGGTTTGTCAGTCGCGAGCTCTTCGAGGGCGTTCCAATTCCACCGGTGTGCTTTTGGCCACACAAAGTTATGGCGACCAGCGCACTTGCACAATGGATGCGACCCGCGTCATAGATCCGGCAAAACTTTGACCACAAGGCACTTGAGCAAGTGGCTCGGCCACGGGGGACTTTGAACAGATAGGGAACGTTCACAAACGTCGTGTGGGGCTATTGAGTGCGCTGACATTCGACGATTTCCAGGATTTGACGCTGTCTTTTCACCCAGTACCACGGGGGCGAGCTAGGACCCACGCCATTCTGTCTCCAATCCCATCGCGTTCAGAGCTTCGCGTTTGTCTTGGGGCATGGAGTCTTTGCAACGCTGAACAAAGTTGCAAGCCATGGCGGGTCGTCGTGCTGGACGGTCACGTGAGTGTACGATTTCTGTACATTTCTCGTCGATAGCTAGCGGAGTTTGGCTCCCCTTAGGTCACTGGACTCGAACGAAGCATGATGTTTGCGTTCCAGTGAAGCGACCAGGGGAGTTCACCTTTCCGGTTACCAGACCCGACGACCTCGGGCCCGCACACACTGTCGCATGGAGATTGGCTGTATAGAGTGCACAATGGCCGATTGTATTGACACGGATCGTCGAGAAGGCCTAGAAGTGCGGCGCTCTCGCGTCCTGTCGGCACGTGATGTAGCCATCACACCAATAAAATCTATTTTGACTCTGGCGCAGGATTCGACACGTTCTGAGTGGTGGAGCTAGGTAGGTTGTCGTGGCCGCTCCACACCAGAACGAGCACCAGGACCATCACACTTGACGACAAATGTCGTGGGGTGCCGTGATGTGCCATGCGCACAACTCCTGGCTTCAACCCGTCAGACATACAGGTAGCACTGTACAATGATGGCCTCCACGACGTCACGAGCTCCAATATGGCTTCACTTCACCTAGTACTTTCCAACCAACGGTGATGCAAAGCGTCTCTTATGCGCCGAAGAGCTGCTTGTCGCTGAGGTTATGGAGGGTATCCTGACAAAGAGAGCATCGTGTGTGTAAGCGGGCGCAGAGGAAGGTGCGCCAGACTGGGTAAAGTGGAGAATGAATTAGCAGCGTTAATCCTATCTAACGCTACAGCTAAGGCACGCAAGCCAGTCATTTGAGGGGGCCTGCAAACATGCAGTAATCTTTAAGTGGGCAAGTTCGCCAGGGAGTGTTGGCGAACGTCGATGTCGAAATATCCGGATAGTGTAACCCGGTTACAGTGTGTGTGCTAGTTGGGCTGCGGCCCTTGAGCACAGGAATCCTGGATGTGTCCACCTAAAAATAAAATAGAAGTTAAAGCACTCATTCCATGACGCGGTCGCCGCAACCCTTTCCCTGCCGTTTCGATCGTTGGATTGGTTGACAGATGCTATCCGGATACAAGTCGAAACCGTTGCGATCTTCCGTTCCTTCATTTTCAAAGATGGGAATCGACGAAGGCACTTCATCCGGCGATGCTGCACGCATGCGAACCATGCCGCCTCTACGGCAGGACGGTGACTCCTCGAATGTGGATGCGCCTCCTGTGGATGGCCCGTCCCCGGGACAAGGTAATCCGACGAGGTGATTTGGCGATCGAACAACGCTCTCTTGCTAGTCGCTACAGTGACGTCGATGAATCCGCTATCCAAGGACTTTCAGAGAGTCCGGTACCTTCTTCAAGCGTCCCTTCCAGGGTTCCTCGTGCACGATGACGTCATGATATGGGATATGAAGAACCCAACGCTACAAACGCAGTACGAGGAACAGACGGCAGGTCTTCTCGAAGTCGACTCGTGGGTCGCGGTGGAAGACCTTGGGCCGTCCATGGCTCAAATGTACAGCTATGGATTCACGGCAATGGAGTCGACGCAGCACGGGATGAAGTTCACGACAGGGAACATCGTCATGGACAACCCTGGCAAATCTGGTGATCACAATGTCAATCGATTCACAGATCTCATGGCTACGGCAGGGACGAAGCAGTTTGTGCTGTGTAAAGTGGCATCCGGTCGCTCGCTACCCATCGAGCGCGAGGAAGACGCGAAAGCAAGGCTTCCCCAGGGGTACCACAGCCACTACCTTGTCCAGCCGCAGGAGTCTGCTCAACGAGATCGTTACTACCACGAGTACATTGTCCAGTCGTCACGCCAGGTATAATCTTGACGAAGAGTGACAATGCATGATGGCTAGGTCATGGTTGTTTGATAGGTTCTGCCTCAATACCTCGTTCGTTTCACGTACTCAGCCATTGAATCCAAGCCTGCACCAGTGTGTGCCTTGTGTGAGAAGCAAGCCGCATCTCTCCACTGTCCGTCCTGCGACGCCAATCTGTGTCCTTCGTGTGACACATCAGTTCACTCGGCCAACAAACTCGCCGGTCGCCACAAGCGATCGCCGCTTGCGGCGCCGTCTGCCGCTGGAGAACCCCCTGTTCTGCTCAGCCTCCCTTCCGTCCCATGTCGTCTGGTGCGTGGAGGACCCGTGGTGTTTTCGATGGTGGTATTTTTGGCGATTTCCGTTGTTTTTCCGGTATTCGATCTCATGGATTTTGTTGAATATATTTCCCAGTTTTTTCCATGTTTTCTGTCAAAATGACGAATGCAGCAGATTGTCACAGTAGAAACGCTGACGGAGAACGTTTTGCAAATATTTTAAACGTTGTCTGACAATTTTGGCAAATTAGCACGAGTCCAAGAACGTCGAGTTCTACTGTGCAGCATGCGCGATCCCGGTCTGCGTGCACTGCAAGATGGTGGGCGATCACTCCGCGGGGGAGAAGGGTGCCCATCGCCTTGTGAGCTTGCTTGATGCGTACGAGCAGAGTATCAAGGAATCGGCCAAGCCCGACCCGTTGATCGAGACTCGGAAGGGGATGATTGCCACCAAACTCAAGCAAATCAGCGACCGCGTAGGCGACATCGCGGCCAACAAACGAGACGTTGAAATGCAGGTGCGGCGCAGCATGGATGTCGTCTTGGCACGCCTCGAGGAAGAAGCGAAGGCGAAGATGGACTTGCTCCGATGCGAGGAGCTCGAGTTGACGCGGCAGTTGCAGCAAGTCGAGTGGGCCGATGCATTTCTCGCAAGTCAGCGCAGTCAGCTAGCGCCGGTCGAGTTCTTGGCGGCGTGGCACTTGCACAAACCGCTGCGCGTGGAGCAGCGTGAATTCCCCGTCGTGCATCTCGCGTCAGCAGAGAGCGTGAAGCCAGACATCCAACTGCTAGGACGCATGCAGGTAGTGTCTGGGGACGGCGACGGCCACGTACAACTGAACGACGACGACGACGGCAAACGACGCGACGAAGAGCAGCATCCACACCAAGTGGGCGGCCACGTCATGTCCCCCAAGGGGAAGCGCATCATCCAAGACGTCAAGAACGACCTCCTCAAGGGAGGCGGTGCTCGCAGTCCACAGAAACGAGAGACGGCGCGGGGTAGCTTCACCTTGCGCATGTCGAGCACATCCTCCAACACCCGCCAAGACGTGTGGTCGACCCAGTTGCGTCGCGAGATGGGGCTTGACTCGGCTGACGACGCGTCCAAGCCCGAAACGACCGACGACTAAGTTAGGGTTCAAAATCCAACATCTGCATCACTTTTCAAACGCGACTGCCGCGCACGGCGTTCCTATGATCGCCGCAGGTCATGCCATCAAGCTGCTTGCATGACCGAACCATCGGTTAGAAATGCATGCCATTCGCATGCTAGAGTTCTCAGGGACACCAATGTGTCATCGACAGTGAACAATCCATGCCTCAACTTGATATTATAGTACGAAAGAAGTTGGGCAGACTGCTTAATCGACTTCTTCAATCTTGGGACCTTGGGCGCTCGACGCCGGAGGAGGGGCGCCACCCGCACCAAAGTCCGGCATGCCGCCGGGACCGCCAGGTGCACCGCCCGCCGCATACAGCTTTTGCATGATCGGGTTCGCAACACCTTCGAGTTCCTTTTGCTTGGCCTCAAACTCTTCCTTCTCAGCCGACTGGTTCGCATCCAACCAGCTAATGGTCTCAGTCACCTTGTCGTCGACTGTCTTCTTGTCCGCGGCATCCAACTTGCCTTGGAGCTTTTCGTCGTTCAGCGTGTTGCGCAAGTTGTACGCATAGTTTTCCAAGCCGTTCTTGGCTTCGATGCGAACCTTGTTGGCTTCGTCTTCCGACTTGTACTTTTCGGCTTCCTGCACCATGCGCTCAATGTCGTCCTTGGTCAAGCGGCCCTTGTCGTTCGTAATCGTAATCTTGTTCTCCTTGCCGGTCGACTTTTCAATCGCAGACACGTTCAAGATACCGTTGGCGTCAATGTCGAAAGTCACGTCGACTTGAGGCACACCGCGAGGCATGGGAGGGATCCCGTCCAACGAAAACTTGCCCAACAAGTTGTTGTCGCGCGTCATCGAGCGTTCACCTTCAAACACTTGGATCAACACACCAGGCTGGTTGTCGGCGTAGGTCGAAAACGTCTGCGACTTCTTCGTCGGCACCGTCGTGTTGCGCTGGATCAAAGTCGTCATGACGCCGCCGGCCGTTTCCAAACCGAGAGACAAAGGCGTCACGTCCAACAACAGCAAGTCCTGCAACTTCTCCGAGCTGTCGTTGCCCGACAAAATCGCGGCTTGCACGGTAGCACCGAACGCGACAGCTTCATCAGGGTTGATCGACTTGCACGGTTCCTTGCCGTTGAAGAAGTCCGACAACAGTTGTTGCACCTTGGGGATACGGGTCGAACCACCGACAAGCACCACTTCGTGCACTTGGCTCTTCGACAACTTCGAGTCGCGCAACACCTTCTCCACAGGTTCCATTGTCTTGCGGAAGTAGTCGCCGCACATGTCTTCGAAACGAGCACGCGTGATCGTGCTGTTGAAGTCAATGCCGTCGAACAGCGAGTCAATTTCGATGTACGCTTGTGCCGACGACGACAGGGTACGCTTGGCGCGCTCGCAGGCAGTACGCAGACGGCGAAGGGCACGTTGGTTTTGGGTCATGTCCTTGCGGTGCTTGCGCTTGAACTCCGCCGTAAAGTGGTCTACCAAGCGGTTGTCGAAGTCTTCACCACCCAAGTGCGTGTCACCGGCAGTCGCCTTCACTTCAAAGATACCCTCTTCGATCGTCAACAGCGACACATCAAAGGTACCACCGCCCAAATCGAAAATGAGCACATTGCGTTCGCCACCCTTCTTGTCCAAACCGTACGCAATGGCAGCGGCAGTGGGTTCGTTGATGATACGAAGCACATTCAACCCAGCAATGGCACCGGCGTCCTTGGTCGCTTGACGTTGCGAATCGTTGAAATAGGCAGGGACGGTGATGACAGCGTTGTTGACGGTCGACCCAATGTAGGCTTCCGACACTTCCTTCATCTTGATCAACACCATCGACGAAATTTCTTCAGGTTGGAACGTCTTGGTTTCGCCCTTGAATTCCACCGTGATTTGGGGCTTGTCGCCCGCACCGGGGGTGACCTTGAACGGCCAGTGCTTGATGTCGGCTTGGATCACAGGGTCGTTGAACTTGCGGCCGATCAAACGCTTGGCGTCGAACACCGTGTTGGTCGGGTTCATCGCGACTTGGTTCTTGGCGGCATCACCGATCAGGCGTTCGCTGTCCGTGAACGCGACGTACGACGGGGTCGTGCGGTTCCCCTGGTCGTTCGCAATGATTTCCACGCGGTCGTTTTGCCACACACCGACGCACGAGTAGGTCGTGCCGAGATCGATACCGACGCTAGCGCCTTGGACTCCGGACATGTTGATGCGTCGGAGAAAATTCTAAAATGACTGTCCGCCGTCCGCTTTTGCAGTCATTTTCGAGAAGATTCGACCGATCCTTCCAGCATATTCTATCAATAGTATACAAAAACCAAGATATTTATCTCGAAGGGATGCGATTGGCTGGAAACCATGGAAACCTCTGATATTGTATAGTTTTGCGCCCACCAGACCATTCAACCGCAGGATGTCGAGTATGTTTGACCAGCGAAATATCGAGTGTGACAGGTCCGAATGTTGCAGAATACTGGACAGGTTGATCATTGCGGTTGTCCGGTTTTTATCCGGAATACTTGTAAAATACAATATGCCTGGGTATCGGATTTCGAAGGGTTGACAGACCCCTCTCCCGAGCGCGTGTCGTGTAATGCGAACACATAATTCAAGTCGCCGACACCGTCCCGCGCTGAAGAGATGGGTAACGACATCGCGCCGTCGACGGGGATCGCTGTGGCTCACTCAATTTCGATGTAGCTGTCCCAGATGTCTACCGCGTGTTCGTCAGCAAAGACTACATGAAGTTCAACGCTGCGCACTTCATTGCTTTCAAGGTGTGGAATTTCGTCGAGCGTGTCCTAGGCGGGCTCTTGAGTTGATGTGTTTCTGATTAGGGATTCCGTGAGCGCCTGCATGGACACAACTACCGCATGTCCGTGACTATCACTGGCGATCGCATCGGACACGACGGGTACCTCATGGATTTTGGCGACATCAAGAAGGTGTGTATGCCATTGAATCCAGTTGCACCGAAAACCATCGTGGAATAGATTGCCCGCGAAGTGTGCCGCGAATTGAACGAACACTTTATCGTGCCATCAAAGAGCGACGTGCTGAAAGTAAGTGCCTTCGTCGTCGTCGCAGGTGGTCATCTCGAACGACTAGATCGACGTGACCGACGAGACTGTGACTTTGGTCACTGAGGACAACAAAACGTTCAGGTGAGCGAACACCATCGTCGTGTGCGTCGAGCCAAAGATTTCATTGTCACGCGCGTAGCTTCCCTCGCGAGGATTGCTCGCTCCTGCCGATCGTCCATTCCAGCGCCGAAGAATTGGCGCGGTATTTGGTACGTCAACACGACGAACTAGGAATTGAACACTTTGTCACGACAGATGGATGTTCTCCTGGAGCGCTTCACGATGACTCAAATGAAGGCAAGTGGCGATGAATCCATAGCCATGTCAAAACTTTACGATCGATTCTACATAGGCTCGTCATGCAACGAAGATTGAAGTGTCCATCGCCGAAGCGGAAAACCAACTGGCCTCGGTCACCCGAAGCCTCGATTATAGCGAACTCAGCCCTTAAGTTGCCGGCCGTGCTGTAACATCTTGCGCTGCTTCACTCTGCCCATTCGTCTCGTTGCAGCTTCCTTGCGGTGATGCCCCCTGCAGAACAGACCTGTCAACTCGCCGCTCTCGCAAAAAGATTCGGATAACAGGAATGTATCCGGATAATCTCATTTTCGAGGACGTCAACATGGACCGATTGGCGCTCTCGTACGAGTCCGAGCAGCGCTTGGAGGACCTTCTCCGTGATGATCTGCAGCTTCCATCGGCACAGACGCAGTTCTTTCGCGGTCGGAGAAGTAAGAAGAAGGTAGAGAAGGCGTACGATGGACTGACGGCAATGGGGTTTTCGATGGACCAAATTGAAGCCGCGCTCGCGCACTCCCATGACTTGACAGGAGCGGTGCAATACTTGTGTCTGTACAACTCGAACGGTGATCTACCCTCGGCCTTTCGTTCGTATGTGTACAAGCCTTCCGCGCGACAAACAAGTGGGCTCCCGGCACAGCTGACTCTTATCCCTGCACCGTCTTCAGGTTGTTCCCCACACGGCACCCGCGATCGCGCGATTGCACCTCCAGTTCCTGTTCCATCACCTTCGATAAAGTTGTCCACCATCGAGGTACGTCATCTCGAGCAACTCGTGGATGTTCACTCTGGACGTTTGTGCAGGCAGACAACGCAAAGGCGTGGACGCTGCAGTACTTGAACTCGTTGGACGAAGATGTACTGAGCCCAGATGCAACACGGCAACAGCTCGAACTGGACTTGGCGCATGCTACGACTGAGCTTAAAGGGTTGAAGAAGTCTCGGAAGCATGAGGCGGGGCACTGGAACGCCGAAATCGCGCGGATTAAAGCAGAGCTAGCTGCATTGTCAGTTCAGGGAATCCCACACGAGGTTCCAGCAACCGCACCCACCTGCGAAATCCACGAAGCCGCTCCGTCACCTGCCGCGTTCGACAGTGAAGAGAACGACGATGGAATGGACATGTTTTCGATGTTGGAGGCCGCTGCGCCACCTCCACCCGCTCCTACGCCTGCCGTACCGCCTCCGATTCATGTGGAGAGTGCGGTCAAATGGACGGGAAAGACTCCACGCGTTCAGCTACAAGAATATTGTCAGAAACAAAAGTGGACCCCGCCCCACTACACCAATTCTGGACCTTCGTCGTCTTCAAGGCACCGCTTCGATGTCCACGTCAAGCGCCGCGGCAACCTCCCAACCTTGTCCTTCCATCTCGAGCACGATGGAGATGCCTACACATCTCCTGACGCGGCGAAAGATGCCGTGGCGACACGAGCTCTGTACGGCCTCGTGCCGCATCTCCCGCTCTACCGCGGATTCCCTCCCCATTTCAGAGATATGTGGTACATCCGCACGCCCATCATGATCGTAAAGCGTGACATTCAAACGTAGGCTCGAATGGTTGCGGCGAGTGGAGGCTGCAAAGGATGAGACCAAGTCGACGGCCACCAAGTCCAAGGACTCGGTCATCGACAGCCTCTTTCAGTTAGCGCAAGACACCTTCCACGGCGACGCACAAGCACCGATGAGTGTTGAATGCCCTGCGCCAGCCACTTGTCGTCCATCATCGGGTGGTATTCTATTTCATGATAGATGGTGAAGGTGCTGACGAGAGGTCTAGACAACATGGTTGTGGCCGACTCGTGGGACAGCGACGATGACGACAATGGAGAGGTGCATGGAGAGTCCGTCAATGGTACTACACAAAACAGCACAGTGAGCGAAGGGGAAGTTGTTTGTGGTCAACGAGTGGACCTCTTTGAGGCCGTGCGAAGGACGAAGGAGTACCAGGCCATGGTGAGCGGTCGCCAGGCCCTGCCGATTGCTGCCTTTCAGCGCGAGATACTGGAGCAGTCTCGACAGAGTCGGGTCGTGCTCATTTCGGGCGAAACGGGGTCGGGCAAGAGTACGCAGGTCCCGCACTACCTCCTGGAAGACATGTTGTCGAGTGCAACCATCCACGATGACGAAGACATCATTTTGTGCACCCAACCGCGGCGACTGGCCGCCATTGGCGTCGCAGAGCGCGTGGCTGACGAGATGGGCCAGGTACGGCGATCCCATCCACGCGTTTCGATTGACGGCATCGTGTGCAGGAAGTGGGGAAGGGCCTTGTCGGGTACCACATTCGACTGGACGCAAAGAAAGGCCGGGGGTGCCGCCTCGTGTTTTGCACGACGGGCATTCTGCTCCGAATGATGCAGACAAACCCAACTCTCACCGGCGTCAAGTACGTCGTCGTCGATGAGATCCACGAGCGAGATGTCCAGAGCGACATCCTCCTTGGCCTCCTGTGCCGCGTCCTGCGCAAGACGCTGCATCTCCGTGTCGTCCTCATGAGCGCAACCCTCCACGCAGCACAGTTTCAATCGTATTTTACCCACCACGCGCGGCTGGTCACGGTGCCAGGCCGGCTCTTCCCTGTCGATACACTATTCCTCGAAGACGCGATCGAGCGCACCCAGCACGTGGTGTTGGATGGCTCGCGATGCTGCACACCCAAACACGCCGCCGCCGAGAACAGATACACGCTGCACATGTCGGGGCGCGACGGTCGCGTATCGACCCAGGTGCTGACGTGGAGCAGCGCAGACGTCCACCGTCGCGGGCCGCTGCACAACGTGGGCGATGGCAAGTACAGCACCCACACGCTCGCCATGATGGCGAAAGTCGACCCGTCTGTGATAAACTTTGACTTGATCGAAGAGCTCGTGGAGCACGTGATCACGGCGACGACCAAAGACCACGGCGCGATCTTGATCTTTCTCAGTGGCCGCGCGGAAATACGAACACTCGTCGACCAGCTGGAAGCGAATCGCCACCTCGCGTCGACCTGTGTTTTCCTTCCACTCCACGCGTCGCTGTCGACGGCCGACCAGCGCCGCGTGTTTCAACGGCCACCGCCCTCCATGACCAAGGTGATCGTGGCCACCAACATCGCCGAGACGTCCGTCACCATCGACGACGTGTCGGTCGTGATCGACGCCGGCCGAGTCAAGCAGATGCGCCACGACACCAAGACCCAAACGTCCTTCCTGACTGAAGTTTGGATCGCCCAGGCCAACGCAATGGTGAGTTTATCGTCCATCCTACCCATGGCGCATAATACATGGCGCCAACATAGCAACGATCTGGACGCGCGGGCCGGGTCCAAGCCGGCACGTGCTTTCGCTTGTACCCCCGTGACCTGTACGAGCACGAGATGTTGCCGCAGCCGATCGCAGAGATTCACCGCGCACCGCTCACGAGCCTCACGCTGCAGCTCCACGAACTGCTCCGCGACGAGTCGGTGGGGCAGTTTTGGCCAGAGCTCTTGGAGCCGCCACCCGAACAAGCTGTTCGCGACGCTACATTGGAATTGATTCAGCTAGGGGCATTGGATTATGATGGCGACGGCGCTGTCCCTGAAGAAGACATGGCTGGCTCCCCCAGCAAGTTGAAGCTCACGGCACTTGGCCACCACTTGGCCAAGCTCCCACTCGATGTCCGCGTCGGCAAGATGCTGTTGTACGCGTCCATCTTTCACGTGTCGAGGCCCGCTGCCATCGTTGCGGCCATCCTAGAGTCCAAGAGTCCATTCGTCGCTCCCCATGGCCAGGAAAAAGCGATGGACGCCGCGCGGCGACAGTTTGCGACGTTCAACAGCGACCTCCTCACGGATCTCTCGGCGTTTCTCGCGTGGGAGGCGTGTGGGAAAGACCGCGACCGAGCATTTTGCACCAAACATTTCCTCAATCGCGTCGCGCTCGTCGAGATTGATCAACTTGCGGCGTCGTTTGAGCGGTTGCTGGTGGACCTGGGATTTATTGCACCCGACTCCAGTCGAAAGCGCCATGAATCGGCGGTGGACATGGTGGTCCTGGCCGCGGTCGTGGCGGCAGGAATGTATCCGAGTGTGGTCTTTATCGATTCGTCCACATTATCGAATCGAACGTTCTGGGACCACCGCAAACAGGTCTACCTCCACCCTTCATCCATCAATCACGGCCCAACAGTGGCGTTTGCGACGACTTACCTCGGCTACTACCTCAAGCTAGTCACGTCGTCCAAGGTGTATGTGCCCGTGTCGAGCGGTGTGACGCCGCTGGCGCTGGCGCTGTTTGGTGGACGGTTCGACTTCAGTTGGTCCGAGCCGCCCGACTCGTTCGAGACTTCGCACGCAACAATCGACAAGTGGATTGACCTGCCATGCGCTGGCCGCACCGCCATGCTCGTGGTGGAACTGCGCCGTCGGTTGAACGACCTCCTGCAGCGTACGTTGCTCCTTGGATCATTCGAGGGAGCTGAGATTGGCCGCGTAGGCAAGCTCGCCGCCCCATCTACAATGGAGCCACACGACCAAGCTCTCGTGCAAACCGTGTCGCTGCTGTGGCGGCAAGAGCGCGCAAGCTGTAGCCCCGTCCGGCCTTCCCACTAATGCCGACGACCTTGCAGATTACATTCGTTCTTGCAATCCACTTACGCGATGAATTGAACCATCTCCAGACATTTCATGCATCCTTATTTCATTCAAAGACACGGCATGACGACATACACGCAATGGACATGGCCTTTCCTACGCCGTTGTGCGGCCTAGGGCACGTACTGCTGGATGAAGGACTTGGCCGTGTTGAGACGACCGTACACACCAGGCTTGTTGAGCTGGCCGCAGCCCAGACCCCAGCTCACGACACCCACCAGACGCACGCCCGACGCGTCTTCGATCGTCAACGGTCCTCCCGAGTCTCCCTGGCACGAGTCTTCTCCGGCCAACCCGCCCGCAGCCAACATGGTGGCGTCGACCTTGCTGGGCGCTAGCGCCGCCGCGGCCTTGGCATTGTCCCAGGTCATCAAGCTGACTTCCTTGAGGACGCGCGACTGAGTCCCGCCCGACGACGTGGTGCCCCACCCACGCACCCACGTCTTCACGTTGGCCGGGACCGACTCGTACGAGATCTTGACTGGCGCAATCGTCGTAATGTTGCGGTCCAAGAGGAGGATCGCGACGTCGTTTGCGTTGGTGCGCGCGCTGTTGAGCGGGTGCTTGATCTCTCGGACGACCCTGGCCGACTCACCGTCGGACGACCCAGTCAGGTAGTGCGTCCCCACGACGACATACGACAGGCCGTGACCCATGCAGTGCGCCGCCGTCACAATCACGTTGGGGGCGACAAGACTGCCGCCGCAGCTCGACGTGGCTGTGGGAGACACCTTCAGGCCTGCCAAGTACCGGTGCTTGCCAACTTCCGCTTCGCGGCCGCCGACAATCTCAAAGTCGTTGTTGGGGGCGACTGGGTCAAGGGCAAACACAGCCGAGGCGAGGGTAGCGAGGATGGCGAGTGCGATCTTCATGGCAAGTGAAATTGGAAAATGGTCACCTCGACCGACGAGGTGGGGGGGGGGGTTGTGGGAAGAGCGCACTGGGTTCGACCTGGGTGGGTTGAAGTTGTCCAGGTCGAATGGATAGCCTGGTTCTCGATCTCGTGGATGGTGTCGTCGATCGCCTCCAGGTAATCATGGCCAATGTGGACCTCTCCATAAAATGGCTGCCTGAGATCCCAGTCCAACTCATCCATGTGGCAAGGAACCTGTGACCTACTCAAGTGGGACGGCGAGCCTGCAAAACCTGACTCGACCTGATCACGTAGCCCTTTCGCACGATCCCGTCGTGGAAAAACAGTGGCATCCTGACGGTAGCTAACCTGTGGCTTTGGGACGGTGGCCGGCGACTTTGTGACGGTAGGTTGCTGTCTCGCCGTCACAGGTTCCTTGCCACATGGATGAGTTGGACTGGGATCTCAGGCAGCCATTTTATGGAGAGGTCCACATTGGCCATGATTACCTGGAGGCGATCGACGACACCATCCACGAGATCGAGAACCAGGCTATCCATTCGACCTGGACAACTTCAACCCACCCAGGTCGAACCCAGTGCGCTCTTCCCACAACCCCCCCCCCCACCTCGTCGGTCGAGGTGACCATTTTCCAATTTCGCTTGCCATGATGATCGCACTCGCCATCCTCGCTACCCTCGCCTCGGCTGTGTTTGCCCTTGACCCAGTCGCCCCCAACAACGACTTTGAGATTGTCGGCGGCCGCGAAGCGGAAGTTGGCAAGCACCGGTACTTGGCAGGCCTGAAGGTGTCTCCCACAGCCACGTCGAGCTGCGGCGGCAGTCTTGTCGCCCCCAACGTGATTGTGACGGCGGCGCACTGCATGGGTCACGGCCTGTCGTATGTCGTCGTGGGGACGCACTACCTGACTGGGTCGTCCGACGGTGAGTCGGCCAGGGTCGTCCGAGAGATCAAGCACCCGCTCAACAGCGCGCGCACCAACGCAAACGACGTCGCGATCCTCCTCTTGGACCGCAACATTACGACGATTGCGCCAGTCAAGATCTCGTACGAGTCGGTCCCGGCCAACGTGAAGACGTGGGTGCGTGGGTGGGGCACCACGTCGTCGGGCGGGACTCAGTCGCGCGTCCTCAAGGAAGTCAGCTTGATGACCTGGGACAATGCCAAGGCCGCGGCGGCGCTAGCGCCCAGCAAGGTCGACGCCACCATGTTGGCTGCGGGCGGGTTGGCCGGAGAAGACTCGTGCCAGGGAGACTCGGGAGGACCGTTGACGATCGAAGACGCGTCGGGCGTGCGTCTGGTGGGTGTCGTGAGCTGGGGTCTGGGCTGCGGCCAGCTCAACAAGCCTGGTGTGTACGGTCGTCTCAACACGGCCAAGTCCTTCATCCAGCAGTACGTGCCCTAGGCCGCACAACGGCGTAGGAAAGGCCATGTCCATTGCGTGTATTCGTGTCGTCATGCAGAGTTGAATTGTATAATCATTCCTGCTTTACTCAACGGCATGACCAAGTGGTTAGCGAGCCCCGTTCGACCCGATGCTCTCTTATTGTACTTAGGTATTTGGTCTAATCTACACTTCGACAATGTCGTCATTGGGGTCAGCGCCCTTCGCTCGGGCGCTCGGCTGGGCAGTAGGTCTGGAGAGCGGTGAGATGGGCTTATTCGCACGAGGTCACCTGGTTGAGTGAACTGGATCAGATTGCGCCGCCGCCTGCGAGCGTCGGCCGCGGACGTCGGGTGGTGGCGAAGCACCATAGTACTCGTGGGACGGCGGCTTGTTAATCTTGTTTGACGCAATGAGGAGGTTCGACGAAGGACTGTATCGTTCGTCTCGATGGGATGCCCTCGCCATGTGAAGATGGTACGGCGGCGCGGGGTATTTCTGCTCCGTCAAGTCGCTCTACGGCCACAACGTGTCACCAGGTCGGATATGGATCGGAACTCGACAAACCAAATGCTGCCTCTCCTGCTTCAACGAGGCCGGTCTCTGCAGCTGCTGTTGTTGCTGGTGATGGTGATGACGGAGGGCAGGAGATGACGGGTGGCCTCGCTGTGGACTGCTTCCTCCGTGGAGGTCCATGGCCGATCGAAGGAACCCTTCGTGTTCCTGCAGGTACGATCCCAGGACGTGTTCAAAGTACCCGCTGCTCGCAGCTAGACGTGGTCGTCTGTCAGAATCCGACAACTCGTCCTACGACGACCGTACCAGCTGAGGTGGGTCCAGGGCGGACGAGGAGCACTCGACGCACGAGGTCGACGAGCTCGTCATAGTCCATCTTCACGCCGACTTCGGCGCGTGCAGCGACCACGCGGAGAATGCCGTGGGCCTCGGTTTGCGTCAGGTACATCTCTGGCGGCGCGCCGCCATCGCCGCTGGGTCGGCCCTGTCAACCACCAAAAAACATGCATTCGTCGTGACCGTCATTCGGACCGGTACAGTACTTACAAGCGGAGTCCGGTTGAAGTGGTCGCGGAGCGCATGGACGTCGACTTGAAAGGTTTGGGCCGCTTGGTGGATATCGAGATGGCCCATGTCGACGGCATGCACGGCCTTGGACCAAGCCGATACGTTCATGGAGGCGTTCTCGATGCCGGGAAACATGTGCGGCGGCTGGCGAGAGTGGTGCATCGCGGACGTTGTGTTGGCCGTGTCGTACGGGTGATGGAAATGCGACCCCATGTGCATCCTGTCACTGCCAGGCGCTCGTGATGGAGCAGGGTACAGTTGGGGCGTCGACGGTGCTGGGCTCAAGCGCGCAGGTTTCTTGTCGTTGCCCATCATGTTCATTTGCATCATGTTGACCATGCTCATGCCAGGCTGCATGGGAGGGTACGGCGCACGGCTGGCGCTTGACACGGCCGACTCCTTCTTCTCGGGCTTCTTGTCGCCGCGGAATCCTTTTATTCTGCGGTGGAGCGACATGTGGTGGACACCAAACTTCTGAGCGGCGTTGCGCAGACTCATTTTGTCGACGAGGACGGCGTGGATCGCGCTGGCCCACACCTCTTCCTTGATGGCGGACGTGCGCGCCATGGAACTAGTTCGTGGCTCGGCACCGACCAAGACGTCTCGAGTGGGACGGCGCAGGTGGTGGCACGCAGTGACTCGGCCGTGCAACGGGTGTCTATATTTATCGACCCAACTGTGCAACTGCCCGTTGAAACCAGAAGTGCAGGTTTTAGTACGAACAGTAGTACGTCGGAAGTTACTAATAGTAGATCCCCGTCGCTACTGTAGGCGGGGGATGTAGTAGTACTAATTGTCGCGAAGCAGATGTATTTTTATATGTGTGCCGACGACGGCATACGTTGATCAAATGAAAGTTGAATTCGGGCGATGATAGGGTTGGAATTTTTTTTCGAGCGTGGGGCAACGTGGGGTTTAGTACTCGTTGCTGCGACACCACACAGCATGGAGAAGCGCGGACGGCGGCAGGCATTACTGCTCTCTACGCCCTTGGGTCAGACGGCGGCGGACGGCGCGGCAATGGAATGGCCGGTCTGTGCGACCTCCTCGTGCGTCACGAACGACAGCGCGTACCCGACCAGCGTGAGAATGCACACCAACTGAGACGCCGATCGGAGCTGGTTGATGCCGCCGCAGTTGCTGTAGTCGTACAGTTTGGTATACGTATCGTCGAAGCGCATGGTGGTCGTGCAGTAGTCGGCGCCGAGGCCTTCGCTCAAGCACTAGACAAGTGCGCGTGAGACCGGTGGAGACAGCCGACAGGTACCTTGACAATGGTGAGGCGCTCAAACGAACACACGATCGCGAGGCCCACAGGGATGTACAAGACAAACGCGACGAGGAAGCACAGCGCAAAGACGAGTTGGATGCGCCTGCGTAATGAAGATCAGAATGACTACCCCAGATGGAACGAGTCGAACCAGGTGGTACGGAGGCCCCCAACTGGGAACGTCCCATGCGGAGACGAGGTGGCGAGGACAAGGATGCGGCGGGTCACGTACGTCTACCGCAATGCGTGAGCGACATGGGGGGGCTGGAAAGTTGCCCACGTTGAGAAGCACGGCAGCCGCTTGGAAGATAAAGAAGAAGTACGCGGCGTAGTTGTGGATCTCCGGATGATCGTAGGACACGCGATAGATGGACTAGGAAAGCATGTCGACGAGGACGGGGGTGGGGCTGACTTACTAAGATGGGCAACCCGATTGTGGCAACCGCGCCCATTGCGGACGCGGCAAAGCTGCATCGAGACAGCGCAGGCGTCGCTTTTGAATTGGGTTGGGTCAGCATATCAATTTGGTGTTGGTAGTTGAAGATCCTGCAGCACACGCCGTCAGGGATGTCCGACGTTCCAGCGATGGGCGTACCACGTGAGAGCGAGGAAGAGTGCCGTGAGACACAATCCCGTGGCGAAGACGTAGTACGCAGGATCATCTAGCGCACGAAATATTGTGAGCTCCAGGTTGCAGCGGTGTGTCCTACCACGCCCCATATCCGAGAAGTACGGCCAGGCGAGCGACCCGACATAGATGTCCTTGGTCTTCGTGATGACGATACAGATGATGAGCGTAGCCACCGTGAAGAATGGCGCCAGGATCGGGCTCCAGCGCCGCAGAGCCGCCGCCACCGTGGACATCGTGTCCAGTTGGAAAGTGACGCCTCACACCCCTCTTCGAAAAGATTCGACCAATCACAGGCAGGCAGTCCGGTTCAATTCACAAAACGTGACCATGTTTGAACAAATCAAGTCCCAAACCAACCTCGTGGTAACAAAAAGCGACTCAAAGCAGGTCGTCGTCGTGTTGTGTTGGCACAAACCACGCTGCGACCATGGCCGAGGCGAGCCGGTGGAGAGCTCTGCGGTATTATAGCGCAGTCCAAGACAAGACGGCACTGATTACACTGTCGAAAGGGCACGATTCTCGCCATCGTGTGCAAGGCTGATGGGAACGTGTGCTGTAGGGCTGTCGTGGAAGGCCTCGTGGGAGCGTTGAACGGCCGACAGACTCTGCTCGGGTTGACGAGCATGAAGTCGCCATTGGGGGTGTACCCGCGCGCCGTGGTCAAGGCTGAAGATATACAGCGATGGGAAGTCGACGTATCGAAGGAGGAGGTGCATCGGTTGCTGCAGCTGTCGTAGCGCGTTGCCCCGCCGCTCGGCCTAGTCGCATCGGCGGGAGATCGACTCTCGCACACGAATTAAACGTATACGTTACTCTGTAGGTTTTTCGTGGAAACCAGGTTAATCGCAGTATAACGTGTAGAGGAAATTCCGACGTTTTTGGTTTTATTCGTGCCACGGAATTCGATCCTTCCCCTTTCCCACCATCATTTGCACTTGGGCACCACACAGCAAAGCGTCATGGATGCGGAGAGCCTGACGAGGTACACGTGCCGCCGTTGATGGAGATGGGTACTCGACGAGTGCGTGTTGTAACAGCGTGTGCATGTGCATAGCTTCATGGCCATCACAGGCGCCGACGGTGCGACAGCGCAGCAATACTTGGACTTGACAAACTGGAACATGGAAGAAGCTGTGAACCTGTTCATGGAGAGCGGTGGCAGCGGCACAAGCGGGGGGAATGGTGCAGCGAGCAGCGGCAACCATGATCCTTTTGATCCGTACGGACAACAAGACGTGCGTGCACCTGATCCGTCGAAGCGACAGCGTTTAGTCGGTGGTCCAGACTTGAGTAGCCATTCTGGGTATCCGCTGCCGTCGCACGGCTATGGACGGCAAGACTTCTTTCAGTCCCATTTGGCGTCTGCTGCGTCGGCCGCATCCCGCCCTGACGCCCTGTTCCAGCGTGATTTTGCCGCCGAGGCCGTTGCAAGCCTCGGCTTTCCGCGACGCACGAGCTCCAACGCCGACGCCGGTCCATCTTCCTTCCACTAGTTTCGAGTGCTTACATGTTTTCGGCAGATGGCGCGTCGTCACGACCTCCCGAGGCGGCGCAATCGTTGTCGCAGCTCTTCCAACCGCCGGTTGCTATCATGTTTTACGGCAGTCTCTCCGAAGTCCTCGCACCGCCGTCGCCGCTCGCGCTGCTCACGTCTTTTTGTATGTTGTAGGCGCGCCAGCTTGCAAAGCAGGAGCGCAAGTGGCTGCTTGTGAATGTGCAGGACGACACAGTGTTTGCCAGTTTGCGCCTGAACCGCGACACGTGGAACGATGACTTTGTGCAAAACTTGATCACGAGCGGGTTTGTCTTTTGGCAGGTACCCGCCGATCTGTTGCGCTCGTCCGTGTCATGATGGCGGCGCTCGTCCAGATCTACATCAGCTCGGACCATTGCAAAAAGTTTTGCTCGCTGTACCAGCTCGACCAGTCGACGCTCCCTATCACGTGCATCCTCGATCCCGTCACGGGGCAAAAGGTCGTCGAGTGGCACGACTATATCGAGCCACAGACCATGGCGGAGAAGTGTACTGCACACTCGACGACCGACGTGGGTTTCATGGACACTGTTGTAGTGTCGGACTTTGCGTGCTTGAACAGTCCTGGCGCGCCGGTGGCGCGACCCGCCGAGCCATCTCCTCCGCGTTCGAGAGAATGGACGGAAGATGACGAACTGGCCGCCGCGATCGCTGCGTCGTTGGAGCAGCCGAGTGACGACGGCATGAAAAGCGAGGCGGCACAGGCTGCCCCGCCGCCGCCTCCCGCATTTGTGCCGCTGCCGGACGAACCTGTCGGTGCGTGTGTCCGTTGTGCTCCCTTCTTCTCTCCACGTGTGCAATGGCCGTCGTAGATGGACCGACCGTGACGCGTGTCCAAATACGCACGACGGCGGGATCGCGACTCATGCGTCGATTCGAAAAGACGGCGCCCGTGTCGGATCTGTGGCGCTTTGTCCAGCAAGAGGTGCGTGTGTGTGTGTGTTTCGATGCAGACCTGATGGCGGCGATGCATGGTGGCAGCTTCCCGAAGCGCGGACGCGGCGATTTGAGCTGCGGACGACGTACCCCCCCGCGACGCTGACGAGCTCCGACACAACGTTGGCCGAGGCGAATCTGGTCAACGCGTCGCTCATGATGCAATGGACAACGTTGGAATAGAGTGCGATGTTTCGTCGTCATTACTTTCGAGTGCGGAGGTTCTTGCGAATGATGGCGACCATTTGGGTCTGGTCGTAGCCGACTTGGCGCGCTTCTTGGCCGGGCGGCATGATGATCACTTTGTAGTTTTGAACGTCGACAGACATGCCGGCACACGGCTCGGATCGTCCTGGCGCGAGAAAAGTCGGTGAGAGAAGGATGGAGGCGGCGGCGGCACGCACCGCGAAGGAGATACGTGAGAAAGTCGTCGTAGGCGCGCGTGTCGGCTTGGGTTTGCGGAAACAGTTCGTAAATCCAGTGCGGGCACTCAATCTTGTGCTCCATGTGCATAAACGAATGAAAGTGGCGAAGCGACGGCTGCTGCGTGATGTTGACTTCGCGCGGCCTGCGCGACGGCCCGTCAGCCCCTCCTCCATCCACACACTCGCAAATCGACGTACATGGGCTGCCGCGTGAATGCGAGGGCGGTTGGCATGGCGCGGCACTGAACCATCATCCTGCCTTTGACCAGCGTGAACAGCCATTCGTCGGGGTTGCGGGGAGGCTGCGCACGACGATCAGGACAACAAAGCACTACCCGAGCAACATGGTTACCTCAATCCGCCGCGTGGGAATCGCCCGCACGTCGGACGAGTACATCGTCGTCGTGCTGCGATGCCTCGACACGGACCGCCTCGACAGGTCGTACGACGTGCGCGCTTGCACAATGTCGCCGACAACGTTGCTGCGCATGTTGCTCGCGGCGACAGCATGACTCGGCGGATTGTCGTAATAGTCGGGCGGCGGGCCGTCGTACGGAGCATTCCATTTTTGAAATGGCGGCGACTGACGGACCACCGAACGGGATCGACTCGCGTGATGGTCGCGGCCATGCTGAGACGACGACCGGGTGTGGCGAGACATGGATCTTGCCGATCGTTCGCGCGGTGGAGGCCGCGAAGTGGACCGGTGGCGGTCGTGCGAGCGAAACGGGGGTGGAGGGGAGTAGCCCCCGCCGCCAAACGACAGAGGCGAGTCCGGTTCTTGCGCTTCTCGGGGCGGCGACGCCGCCATCCGAGACCGCTTGTCCGATCGCCGCCAACCACCTTCCACGCGAGACGGAGACCCGTGGCGCTTGTTGCGGTCGTCGTCGCGAGAGTTGAAAGCAGATCTGCTGTCGTCGCGGCGGTTCGAGTTGTACTTGGAATCGTGGTGGCGGTGTTGCGACGGGCTGCGTCCTCGATGTCGATCGTGGTCCCCGTTCGTTTCACTCGATGCTGGCGTGCTTCCCCATCCACTCGACGGCTTGGTCTGGCTTTTCGTGCCGTGCCACCCGCCGCCGCCGCCCCCCGCGCTGCCCGATTTGTCCGACGTCGTGCCCCAACCTCCGGCACTGGCGGAGAGCGGCGCTTTGGATGGCAGGTCGCCCCATCCTCCACTGACTTTGGACGACTTGTCGACATCCCCCCATCCGCCGCTGCCCTTGGACGATGCATTGTTCTCACGAGACGAGGCGGGCGTCGACGGTGACCGCTGCTTTGGAGACCTCGATCTGTCATCCGTCGAGTCGTCGCGCCGCGGCGCATCCCCCCATCCGCTGTCTTTGGGCCTTCCGCCAGATTGGGAATCGGTCGACCCACCATGCTGAACGTCATGGGAACGTGGGGTCGACTTGGACGTGTCGCCCCATCCGCCTGTGACTGTTGATGCTGAGTCCAAGTTTCCCCATCCGCCAGTCGCTTTGGTCGATCGATCGACGTCGCCCCACCCGGTCGACGACGGCTTCGTCGGCTTGCTCGATGGAGTTTCCGTCGACGATTTGTCCGAGGCGGACGTGTGGCGACGTGACGTGGCTTCGTTTGGACGTCCCCAACCGCCGCTAGATGTCGAGGTCGCTGCGGGGGTCGAGCTGTCGCCCTTGGTCGTATTCCACCCGCCGGACGATGGAGGTCGAGACTCGGGCAGGTCGCCCCATCCACCCGAGCTCTTCTTGGCGGTGTCGGCCTTGTCTGGCGAGCCCCATCCGCCCGAGCGCTTCTGGGTCGCGTCGGGTGCTCCAGTACTTGTGGCGCCCCAACCACCATTTGATCTCGTCGACGCTGTGCCGGGATCGCGCGGCCCCCTCTGGCTGCCTTCTTCGCGCTTCTCTTGGTTGAAAGACTCCAACGCGTGCTGCTTCAAACACGGCGGCGACGACTGCTGTCCAGCACCAGTCGTGGTAGACTGCGACGTTTCGTGGGGTTTTGACGAATCGTTCCATGACGCAGAGCCCGTCGAGGTCGTCGTGCCCCATCCGCCAGACTTGGCGCTCGTGTTTACCGTTGGCGGACTGCCCCATCCACTTGACGCCTTATGTGTACTTGTTGCAGGCTTGGCCGATGAACGAGGCGGCGTGGTGGACTCATGGTCCCAAGTTGGCATGGGTGGTGGGGGCTCCACCCAAGTGTCAGCGTCTGGCATCGCCACTGTCTTTGGGTTCCATCCATTGTCTCGTGCACCCATTGGAGCACTACCGCCGTTGGGTCCATTTACATGGGCGTCATGAGATGCAGCGGCATCGTTGCCCTCACCTGGCGCGTCCTTGGGAGCTGTCGTCAAGTCCGTGTCGACGGCTCTGCCATTGTCGCCGTTTTCTCCAGCTTCACTTCCCGACACGTCCTGCTTCCCCGCGTGTGGACGAGACTCGTGTCGCGGTGCATCGTTCACTTGCTGAGGACTCTCGGCCTCCTTTTCCTTGGCCACTTTGTACCTGTCCATGAACCCAGCGAACGCCATGCCGTTCAATGGAGGCAACTCGCTCGATGGCCCAACTGCACCTCCGGATCGGTCCTCGTAAGTGCGGCTTATACAAACATCAAGTCTATTTTGGCGGGCAAGGCGGTCGACAGAGTAAACTTTCCATGTATAGTGAAATCAAGTATATTCGACCACAACGGTAGATTACAGCGCCTTGAGCGCTTTCGACTCGTCGGCGGCGCGCGTCGCGACAATGGCGGCGGTGCCGTACAACGGACTCCTGGTCAACTCGATGGAGAGGGGAGTGGAATCTGTCGCTTTCGTCGACGCTTTGTCGTCGTCGTAGCGGAACCATCGGAGCTGCACTGTTCCGTTGTACACGGCTGTGCCAAAGAAGAGAAGGAGCATGCCGGTCAACTGCAACCAACTCCAGTCCGACCATTCTTCGCCAAGAGCTCCGCTCGTGAACACGTAGAAGAGCGCAAGGTCCATCGACCAGACAGACACGGGTCGGAAGTTGGCCAGGATGGAGCGCCACACCGAGTCGAGGAGAAACGTGACGAAGATGGACGCAATGTTGAACGATGTCACGCACAGGATGTAGAAGATGCACATGTTGCGCACCGTCGCACTGTTGTAAATCATCAGGCACGAGTCGAAAAAGTCTTCCGCGCTCCCGTTGTCACCTCCAGGAATGAAGTACGCGATGGGAAACACCACGGCAAGCATGAGAAACGTGCCCCACAGCCCTTCGAGGCCGATGACCATCATGGGGGGCGTTCCATCTTTCTTGCGCATGACAGTCTCTTCCAGCACGTATTGACTGCTCGTGACAAGGCATCCGAGGAGCAGGACACTCACACCGATCAGTGCTGACGCAGACTCGTGTTCTTCGCCAAAGCACGAAGCACTCACCATAAGGATAGCCGTCGCATTGAGCGCAATGCCGCACTTCATGTAACCCGTCGGTCGGAATTTCAAAAACAGCATTTTCAGCGCCGCGACAAACACAATGATGGTGCACCGCACGAGCTGGAAAGTACTGACTGGGACAAAAAGGAGTCCAACGCTCATCAAAGCAGTTGCTCCCAAGTCGGCGCACGCGGGAAATGCAAGGACCATGATGCTGTCTCTGTCAAACTTGGGCATCATGTCGTGTTGGCCCGATAGCCGCACGTACAAGAATTGCACAGGGATGGCTACACAAGCCTCTTGGGTCAGTCACAGCTCACGGTCTAGAGCAACGTACCAATGCCCATAGCCAGAAACATCATGAACGTTTGCATCAACGGTTTCTGAAAATGCTTCATGGTCCCGTCCCGTCCTTCGCTCTCGAGACCGTACAAAATCTGCAATGGCCCCTTCAATCTCCACAAGCACGATGCAATATGGCACAAACCTTGCTTGACAGCGTCGACCCCGTGCCCATGAGCAGGGCGAAGCCGAAGCAGAACGCCGCGACGTTCTTCTTGGACGCGACTGACAGCTTGTTCATCTGGGCACCGAAACAAAAAGTGCTCCTGATAGTGGTGGACTGGGGGTTATCCGGATGCTCCCCGGCTTGAAGTGGCCCATTTATACTGACATATGTATAGGACCGTTTGAACTCGTCCGGATAAAAATGGTATGTCCATGGAACAGATAGAAGTACAATGTTAGGCTGTGGCAACCACGACAACGGCGGGCGCGGCGCAGTCGTCGCTCTCGTCGGAAACGACGCCAGTCTTCTCATGCTCGTCTTGTTTCTGCGATGGGTACGTGAAGCAACGAAGCTTGATGTTTTCGTTGTAGACGGCCGTGCCAAAGAACAGCAGCAGCATGCCGGCCAACTGCAACCAGCTCCAGTTCGTCCACGTCTCGCCGTACGTGCCATTCGTAAACACGTAGTAGAAGAGCAAGGACGTGACCCAGATTGCAACGGGTCGGAAGTTGACAAGGATGGAGCGCCACACAGCGTCGAGGAAGAACGTGACGTAGATGGAAGCAACGTTGAATCCGGTGATCGAGATCACGTACAGGATGCAGTAGTACGTCAGGGTCGTGCTGTTCTGCATCATCTCGATCGAGTCGAAAAAGTCTTCGACATGTCCGTTGTCAGCACCCGGAATCGCGTACGCAATCGGCATCACGACAAACAACATGAGGAGCGTGCCCCACACTCCTTCCATGCCGATCACGACCAGGGGCGGGTTGGACACCGCGTCCTCGACCGAATCGTTTTTGTCCGTCTGGACCGGCTTCTTCATGAACACTTCCTCCAGGACGTACTGCATCGCAGACGTGAGGCACGCCAGCAACAGTACACACACGCCGACGAGGGTGCGCACTAGATCGTTGGCACTCGCGAGGCACGATGCGCTGATCAGCACGATAGCAAACGACATGACGACGATGCCAAAACGCATGTACCCAGTCATGGAGAACTTGAGGAAAATCACTTTGAGAGTCGCGACGTAGATGATGATAGTGCACCGGGCGAGTTGGAAAAAGCTCACGTTCACGTAGAGCAGGGCGACGCTGCCGAGCGCGGTCGCGATGAGATCCGCGACGGCGGGAACGCACAGCTTGAACGACGACGACCACCGGAATCGGTATCGCTCTGCCTTGGGCCGAGTGCACTCCAAGAACCCGTGCACGACGAGGGCCAGTGCCATGGCGACGAACATGAGAAATGTTTGCATGAGGGGTTTCTCGAACGTTTTGGGCACTTCTTCCAGACCGAGGCTGTGGATGCTGTAGACGAACTTGGACGTGTGCATGGTGCTCGTGCCGAAGAGCAGCGCCGCCACGAACGCGACGGCGCCGTATCGTCCACGATGCGGCATTCAAATTGGATTGTAAACACTGATGGCGTCGACTCGCCGGTCGAAGTTTAGAACGTAATTAAATTTCATGGATTTAAGTTCTCTTTTGTGTAGTATTCCCATGCAACCAATTTTATTTTAATAGAGGGATGGCGAAGGAAGTTTTTCGTCGTCATGGCATGGTGTACCTGCTATCACGGTATCCATGACAAGACAACGATGCTCGCTACCAACCCATGTGAATTCATCGTAAACAGCAACGACGTCCTTTCAACTTTGGCAGGTAGGACACGGGTGACCATGCGCTGCTGGCGGGCGAAGAGCGCCCCGTCCAGCGACACGCAACCCCACGACACAGCAAATCACCGTCACAAGGAGGTAGTATTCCTAGTAGTATACATGGCTGGTAACACAACCTACTAAAGACAAACGCAACCCAAAACGGGCGGAATTCTGCGGCAGCAGCATGAGCAGATCCAGCGATGCCGTGTGGGATGTCGTCCAAGGAACGTACGATGCATCCAAGCTGGATTCGCTTCTGCGAGGATTGTCGATTGCTGGATGGGAAATGGACGGATGGACGCCGCTACACTATGCATGTGCGAACAGAGACGTCGCGAGCCTGTGCCCGCTCCTGAACGCAGGATCCGAAGTCAATGCCGTCGACGAGCTCGGATACACACCCCTCCACTTGCTGTGCAAAAACGTGTCAGGTAAGTTCACAGGAATCTCAGAACTCGTGAGCAATGGGGCGTCCGTGAACATCGTGTCCACGGTATGTTGTCGCTGCTTCCATCGAGTTGATGCGGTGTGCATAGGACGACAAGCGCGTGACTCCTCTGCAGTTGCTGTGCATGAACGAAAGTATCACACTCGATGCCTTGTCTGCGCTCGTGAAAGCCAACGCTGATGTCCGTGCCGTCGATGCCGATGGCAATACCGCGCTGCATTCGTTGTGCGCCAATCCCTCTGTCAGCGACGCCCTCTTGGCCATCTATCTCGACCGCCCTGCCCCACTGAATGCCCAGAACCAGGTACCCTGCACATCGATGTGACATGACTTCATCGTTCGTGTCCAGTTCAAGGCAACTCCGTTGCATTACCTCTGCCAAAACGCGCGTGTGTCTCCGACGATGCTCAAGCAGCTCTTGGACGCTCGCGCCGACCCGAATCTCCCCGACAACGTACGTTTCCCATCCGTTGCCGCGTTTGCACTCATGGTATCCTAGACGGGGAATACGCCGCTGCATGCGTTGTGCGACAACGCTGCCGTCACGGTGGCGCTTCTCCAAGTGATGCTAGCTCACCCATCGATCGACTTGTTGGCGACGAATGCGGTGAGTTCCTGACGCGACACCGGAACGGGTTCCTTTACGTTGCTTCGTATGTAGAGTGGACGGCGAGCTGCTGCATCGCTCGACACCGACGAATGCAAACTCTACGTCGAGCAATTCTCGTCGGTCGACTCGTCCCTCCTGCCATCGACATCATCAACTGTTCCTGGTGGGGAGGACGTGGCGGACTTGCCAGAGCCCTTGCGCTCCATCATGGCGGAGTGGAACCACAGTCTGCCGCCGTTTGATGAGGCGTTTTACACGGCTGTGTCGTGCGAACCTGCGTTTGAACGATTGTACTCTCAAGTTCAGAATGCATCCGTCCTCGTGGCAGAACACCCTTCGGACAAGACTCTTCTGGCGCAATGGAGCGCAAGCATGAGCGAGTGGCGACAGACGATTGTGCGAGCGTTCCTCACCCTCGTCAACCCGCGCTTGTGGGAGTCGTACATGAAGACGTTCGATCGCCGAGTCCCAGACGACGTCGTCAAGATGCAGGCAAAGGTGGAGGCGATTTGGACCAAGTTTCCTCAATTGTCCCAGCGAAGGGAGCGCCTGGGCGCCGTGCAGGAACTGTACTAGCGCAACTAAGCGCCCATCTCTCCCCAGTTTCCATGCCGGATGAGGAGAGAGTATGTAATGTTGCAGGTCTTGGAGATCCATGGGACTTTGACGTATTTGTTTTGACAGGAGATGCTACTGTATTTTTAATAAGTTCAAGTCGCACGAAATACAAATTTCAAGTAAAAAATGTGGAAATTAAATTCGGTGCGCTGAGAAGTTCTGGCAGCACCAGCACCAAGATGGGACTTCCGCCATGTTCGACGCCTCCAGTCCCGCCGCCTGGTATGACTGCAAAGCAACTGCTTGACGCAACCTTGGGCTAATGGCGTCCATACAGATGCGCCGGAAAGGAATACAGAAACAAACGGGCGCGTCACGATTCCATACGTCCGAGAGTGGGTGTCGAAATGGGCCAAAATGGCCCAGTTCAACGCCGCCGTCGTCAACGGCGAAAACGTGTCAAAAGAATGGGTACGCAGGCTGGCGCCGACACCCTCGTCGTGAATTTCACAATGGATGCAGCTCCACGAAGTTGGATTCTCTCAGCCGATCGTCGTCTTGGACCGGGCCAGCCTCGGTCTCTCAGGTGGACAACCGTAGCATCGACTCGTGTGCGTTCAAGCATGTGACAACCATTCCATGAGTAGTTCCAAGCATTGCAGTAGACGATCTTGTGTCCGTTGTCGGCAAGGACACGCCAGTGCCAGTGATGGAGGTGAGACTATCCGCCGGTCGTCGCTCGTCGACTCACCCTTGGTGCCAGGTGAACTCGCAATGTGCGGCTGGAAACTGGTCATTGGAGCGGTGGATGTCGTACATGAAAACTCCACCAGTCGACAGGACACAGGCACTGACAGTGCCGTCCTTCGGCCACCCCGCGCTGTCGTCGCTGATCACGCCCCCTCACTTTGTGAACGAAGTGGGATGGATGGAAACGTTGTGGGCCAAGGACCGCCCCATGCCGCCGGTACATCCCCCAGCTCTGCCGAAACTTGACATTGTGTGAGTAGACCCAAACGTTTTGCGTGATGGCGACCAAGGATTCGTTTGTCGACTTCCGAACGAGCCCGGGCGGCGCCACGCTGTGGTACTCGATCGTTTGCGGGAAGCAAGTCGTGTACGTCGTGCGCCCGACGTCGGACCACCTGAGCAAGTACAAAGCATGGGCGAAAGACAAGCTGGCGACTGTGTGCTTTGGCGACGTGGCCTCTGGCTGCGAACACATCGTGCTGACCGCAGGATCGACGCTGTTGGTGCCGCCGGGCTGGATTTACGCGATCGCAACACTTGACCAAGTACTTGCTCGAGCAAGTGCGGTGTGTGGCGGCGCATGACGTCGGTTTTGTAGGATGCCATGGCGTTTCAAGGGCACGTGTTGGACAGCGTCGACCTGGCCAAGCAGCTCGCGTGCTACGCGGTGGACGTCGACGTATACGGCCAGTCGCAATTTCCGCAGCACGACGACGCGATGTGGCACGTGGCGTGCGCGCATCTAGCCCGCACGGGCCAGGACGACGTCGACCTGTCTGCGTTGGTGCGCCTCCTCAAACCGTCGGTGGAAGCCACCGAGATCGCCAAGGCGCACGGGTTCACGTCCGCCGATTCCGTTCTCCATGCTCTCAAGTCGACAGTCCCGACTGACTCGAGTGGGTCGGACACCTCCAGCAGCAGCAGCGACAGCGACAGCAGCAGCAACGACGACTCGAGCTTGACGTCGACTGTGTCGGACGTGGACGTCGAGTTCCCCAAGTTTTACAAGAACAACGTCAGGAGCGCCAAGTACCCGCTCAAAGTTCTCACACCACTGGTCATTCCAAAGCTCCAAGTTGGCCGGACGCCGTTGATGACACCGACGACATCCTCCAAGGGTACGCCCAAAGCCAAGCGAAAGCCACGAGCCAAGGCCGCGGCGGTGCGTTGCCGACGCTTCCCCCATCCCGCTTGGTTCATGGGCGCTTGGTTGTGTATAGGAGCAATGGTACTTTGAGTGCAGTTGTGGCGAGAAAGGCTCCAACTACGACGACGGGAAGCGGATGGTCCAGTGCGAAAAGTGTGCCACGTGGCAGCACACTGACTGCGCCGGCATCCCCGACGACAGCGAGCCGCCCGCGGGGTACATGTGCTTTCAATGTCATCAGGTAGTGCCTCGTTGTGCAAGCTCGTGTCGACGGCCGTGTAGATCGCGACCCACGGCGACGGCACCGCCGCCCCTGCCGAATGGACAGTGAACTGCAGTTGCGGCATCGTCGCGGCCAACTACGACGACGGGTGCCGCATGATTGCGTGCGACTTGTGTAATACGTGGCAGCACACGCTGTGCGCAGGAATTCCCAACGACTGCGACCCCCCGGACGTGTACATGTGCCGGAACTGCAAGGTACTGCTGGGGAGGCGGCATGGAGGAATGGTGTTTCTTGATGTCGAAGGGTAGAGTGCAAAGAAGACGAGGGCGAAGGCATCGCCGAGAGCCGTCAAGTCCCCCAAGGCGATCAAGTCGCCCAAGGCCCGGCCTCAAGGTCGAAAACCGGCGAGGAAGCCTCCGTCAAGCTCTGAAGATGACGACGACGCCGACGACGAATCACCACCGGTTGTCGTGGCATCGTCGTCGTCCAAGCGATCGTCGAAACGGTCCAAAACCACCGCGATGTCCCCCACGTCCGGCGAGAACGTCCGCCCTGTGCTGAAAACATCCACGGTGGCCACGATCCCCGTGTCGAAGCCCAAGAAACCGACGTCGGTACGGGAGCGACTGGTGAAGAAGCTCAAGATGAAGCCAACGTGGGGACGCATGTAATAGAAAGAGTCGAGATTTGTCGAGGCCGTCGTGCCGAGTCACCGTGCACAACGACGGGACCAGTGCATAAGCTGTGGATGCACATCAAGTTTGGTGGGGAAAGGAAGTGCACGGCATGCAGTGCGGTGGATGGCGGCGTCCATCGCCGACGCCTCACCCGCGGGAGCCGTCGAGCGATTTGATTGGCTGACGGGAAATGCAAGAAATTTGAAATTCCGATGGTGTGGACGCGAGTTGGCACGCACGGCGCCCGGCGCTGGCGATCTGTCGTCGTGCTTCGACACCATGCTCGCGGACGCTCCATTACTGCATGGACGCCAAGCCGTGGCCTCCATGGTGCAGCGAGCACGTTTCCCAGAACGCCAATCAAGGACTTGATGTCGATTCCAAAACCACGTGAACACGATGCCGTGGCCGACGCGCCGGTGACGACCGTGTGCGGATGGGTCAAGACAATTCGCCGTCAAAAGAACTTGAGTTTCATCACGATCAACGACGGGTCGTCGTTCCAAAGCTTGCAGGTCGTGTGCGATGCGTCGTCGATCTGCGCCGAGTCACTGGCCGACGTGTCGGTGGGCAGCAGCGTCACCGTGACCGGAGTCGTCTCGCATGCTCCCAAGTCTGGACAGGTCGAAGTGAACGCGCAATCCGTGGCAGTTCTCGGACCGAGTGACCCCGCCACGTACCCGTTGTCGAAAAAGTACCACAGCCTCGAATTTGTCCGGGAGCATTTGCACCTGCGACCTCGTACCAACACATTTGGTGCCGTCACGCGCGTTCGAAACGCCCTCAGGTACGTCGGTCTCGCGCCTCAGTTCTATCGTGACCGCGCTGTGTTTGCGCAGCCAAGGCCTTCATCAGTACTTTCAGTCGCAAGGATTTGTCCAAGTGCACGTGAGCCTCGACCACCGAATGTGTTGTCCGCCTTTTTACGTATCCATGGACTTGTAGACGCCGATCTTGACGTCGATCGATGCCGAAGGTGCCGGCGAGCAGTTCCGCGTCGTGCGGGACACCGAGTCGCCATCGGCGGACGGTAAATGGCTCGTTTCACTCGACAAACGCGGGCAACTCGTCGGAATCTAGGCACAGACGGCCACTTCTTTGGTCTTCCAGCATACTTGACTGTGTCGGGCCAACTCCACGCCGAAATGTACGCGAGCGCGCTGTCCAACGTGTACACGTTCGGGCCAACGTTTCGCGCCGAGAACAGCAACACGAGTCGGCACCTGTCCGAGTTTTGGATGGTCGAGCCTGAAATGGCGTTTGCGGGGCTCGACGAGTGCATGGCGAGTGCGCAGGGCGCTGTTCAACGCAGCATCCAGCACGCTTTGGAGACGTGCCCAGACGACGTGAGCTTCTTCCACGCGCAGTATGCCAAGGCCGAGAAAGGAAACCTCTTGGGCCAGCTCCAGTCCATCCTCGACCGCGACATTCCCCATATCACGTACACGGAAGCCATCGCGATCTTGGACAAAGCACCGGTGGCATTTGAAGTCCCGCCAGAGTGGGGTACGCACGCAGGGGATACCGGACATGATGCGTCATGCGCGTGTAGGCATGGATCTGAAAACCGAACACGAGCGGTACCTGGCCGAAAAGCACGTCGGGGGACCCGTCTTTGTGACAGACTACCCCGCCGCACTCAAGGCGTTCTACATGCGCCAGAACGACGTAGACGACCCCGCGCGAGCGACGGTCGCCGGCATGGACTTGCTCGTCCCTACGGTTGGCGAATTGGTGGGCGGAAGCGTGCGCGAGGAGCGCCTCCATGTACGGAAGGACGTACTCGATGCATGGAAGTGTAACGTTATATATGTGTGGAAGGTCCTGGAGGCGAAGATGCGCGCGAGCGGGGTCGACCCGGCGGGTCTGCAATGGTACTTGGACCTCCGGCGCTTCGGGACGGTGCCGCATGCCGGATGGGGTCTCGGGTTCGAGCGCCTCGTGCTCTTTGCAACCGGGATGGACAACATTCGCGACGCGATCGCCGTTCCTCGATACCCTGGAGCGTGTCGGCACTAGATCAACAGACGATGTTTTCACGTTAACATTGGTCGCGACGGTGGGGTGCATTGCTGCTGGAGCTGGGATCGCAGCCGTTCATTCTCTTGAATTTGAAAGTGTAAACACGCTCGGAGGTCGGCGATCTCGTCCTGCGCCGCCGCGAGCTTGGTCTGGAGGGTCGCAGGAGATGGAGTCCTTGGTACGTGTGTCTCATGGTTGCTTTGGTGCGTCGTGGCATTGGAGGGGCTCGGCGGGGCGGCGGCTTGCTTGATCCCGAGGAGAAGGTTCACTGGGTCCTCCTCGCTGCTATCGACGGGGCCAGCCTTTGTCGCATCCTGCTTCATCACGACGCCATGGGAGCATGACGTGGGGCTTAGCTTCGCAGGAGGACCAACGCTAGCTTCCATGCGAAGCATGAGGCTGCTGCGGATCTTGCACAGGTTGGGGAGGGTCCCGGCTTGTTGTGAAAAGAGAAGCACGTCCGCGGGCATAACCTTGATGGAAAAATCGTCGTTCGGAGTCGACGGGGACTGGGCGGTGCCACCAGGAACTGTGTAGGGTCGTATGACACATGGAGTGGACGCAGCACTGGTGCTCGTGGAGCTGCTGTCGTCGCTGCGCTTCTTCGTCAAGACAGGGCTCTTGTCGGCGACGAGGTGGCCGTTGACGCGTACGCGTTTCGGAACAGACTTTCGTTTGATGAGGTGCAGCTTATCTGGCTCGTTCTTTTGGAAGTACGGATGACTAAACGTGCAGATGAACGTTTTCGTCTTGGTCCACTTGCGGAACCCAAAGTAGTTGAGTTGGCGCTGAAAGCTCTGAAAGTTGTTGTGGCTGAAGTACTTGGGCAGGATTTCCTGCGTCGCGCGGACGGGGTCTAGAATTTGAAACGACCCGCCGTCGTCTGCCCACTTGATCACGGCGGACGATTCCGCTTCGAGAATGTCAAAGAGCTGGAGCAAGAATTTGGGCACGTCGTGTTGCTTGGAGGTGGGGTTTTTCTTGGACGTGTCTCCTGCATACTCGCGGGACTCATTCGGGGTCATCTCTCCTCCACACGGTCACGTGTCCGTCGTCGTCGATGGCGCTGCGATTATAGACGCGGGCGGCGCCTGGACCGCGTTTCCAAATTGTGGATACCTTTATTGGCCATTCTTGAATTTTTCGAATTGTTCGCCGTATTTTTAGAACGTCCCATTTGATTGGACAAAAATGCCAAAATTCGACCGCCGCCAAGGGTTGCCGACGACGGCAGACGTGGACGCGCCACGGCCGGCGATGCGTTGGTCGGACGTGCGTGCAATGCACGACGTGGCGTGGCGCCCCGCAGGGGGACAGCACTGCGCGGGACAGCACACTCGCCGGGACGGCGCGACATGAGTTCTGTCCAATACGCACCGATCAACTCCCACAGGTGATATTTGTGTCGTGTAGTAGGAACAAGCACGAGCAGCTCCCGAGGTGACCAGTCCTTGTCAGAGGGAGCTCGTTACATTCATGATCGGCTAGTGAGGTGTAACTTGCTGACAAACCACGATACAAACACACAGTGTCGACGGGCGACTCCTTGTTCGGCGGCCGACCAATTTCTGTGCAGACCTTCCCCTTGGGGAGGACGCAACATGGCGGGGTGGACGGGACGTCGCGGCACATGGTTGGGGACCGACGGCGGCGCGATCGAGACTCGCTCGCGTGGGTGGCTGCGTACAAAGCAGCGAGCGGCGTGGTCGAAGTTCGAAGGAATTTCGAACACGACGTCGAAGCATTCGTTTCACGACCCCTTGAACTATCGCATCGTTGGTTGCCGCCATCGCCATGACCAAGATCCTTGGGCTGTCCACGGCGCCCCGCCACGAGAGCGCAAAGGTCGGCGCGTATGACTCGGTCATGCCGGTGACGCGGCTGCGGTCGTCCAGCTGGTCCTCGGACAACCCATGCCAAGTACGATAGTCGCCTGCATACTCGACACGTGACTCGCTCTCCAGGCCGTGTTTTACATGCTCTGTTGGTACACGTTCTCAACGAGCGCGACCTTGATCAACAAGTCGCTGATCAAGGAGCATGGGATGTCGGCAGAGCTCTTGACAGTGTGCCACCTCGTCATGGGGACCATCTTCGACGGTGCGTCCGCACGGCTCCTCGTGTGGTCATTGTCTCACGCACGCGGGCCGACACAGCGGCCATTTTCTCTGTTCCTGCCAGGTCAAAGTACAAAATGTGGTTCCTCCAGCCCATGAAGCCATCCACGTAAGTAGCCCAACACACTCGGGCCCGCTCACGATGACGTTGTAGGCTGGTGCACTTGGTGCCCTTGAGCGTCCTCGCGATTTCGTCCAAGCTTCTCACGTACTGGAGCTACAGTAAAGTGCCAGTGGCCCTCACGCACACGTGCAAGGTTCATCTTCCTGCCATCGCGCGCTGCTCAACTTGAACCCAGGCGTCGACGCCGCTCTTTAACGTGGTCTTGGCGTATCTCGTGTATCGAACGACCCACGCGACCCCCATCTGCCTGTCGCTCGCGCCCATTGTGGTCGGCGTAGCGATGGCGTCCATGTCGGAAGTCCAGATCAACGTACGATGCTCTCCCGCCGCCATGTATTCCGTCGTCCACCCCTCGTTTGGTCGAATACAGGAGTTTGCCATGGTCGGGCTCGTTTGCGCCGTGTCTTCGTCCTTGTTTGGCGTAATGCAGGTACGCCAAGAAGGATGCATACGACGCGCGGCGTCACTGACACCTGCGCAGAGCATGTATGCAAAGTATCTGCTGCGGCATGGCGTCGTGGCCGACAGCGTCAACGTAAGCACGGTCTTGATATCTCTCGTCTGACGCGATTTGCAACCCCAGCTACACTTTTACAATGGCCTCCTCTGCATCGTCGTCAACAGCCCCGTCATCTTGTTTGGGAACGCGGCGCCGATGGTGCCTGGCCAGTACGTCCATTCACCCTTGTCGCTTTTAACGTGGTCCCGTCTGGCAGAGTCCCATACACTCTCATCATCGTGTGCAGCATTTGTCAGTTCATCTCGAGCCTGTCGTCGATGCTGGTGCGTGCGGCTGGCCGTCGTTCTTCCTTCATGTGACGGACCTCCATCGGTGCTGTAGCTGCTGGGTAAAGTGTCGGAGCTCACGTACTCCATCATGAGTACGCTCAAGCGCGTCGTGATCGTTGTGAGCGCAATTGTGTACTTTGGCAACAGCATGACGGGAGTGTCTGCCGTGGGGATGTCGCTTGCCGTACGTCCATCCATCGTCTCCCGCGGGGCTGCGTACTCACATGTTGCTGTGCGTAGCTTGGGGGCGTTGGAGCGTACCAATATGCCAAACTGAGGCAGTCCAAGGCGGTCGCGCACTTGGACAAGCACGCGCTGTGAGACAGCATCCGTTGAGCACTATTTTGATATATGAAATACACAACACTATGGCACGACCCCGAACGGACTGGAACACGTGGCCAAGTTAGACGTCGACGCCGCGCGACTGGTTCTGCCCTTGCTGCTGTTGTTGTTGACCCGCCTGCTGCGTGCCTTCCGCCGAGGACGGCTGCATCCCTTGGAGCTGTTGTTGATAATGCTGCATCATCTGCAGTTGCTGAGGGGGCCAAATTGAAGGGTTCGCGCCGGCTTGAGATTGCATGAATTGATGGAGCATTGCCGCTTGTTGTTGCTGCAGTTGCTGTTGGTACACAATTTGAGGGTCCATCGAGCCTTCCTGGTGTCGCGTGAGAAGGTATATGGGAGGAGATAATGTGTGCTTACTTTTTTGCCGGGCAGCTTGATATCCTCGCGCGGAACAATGTCGATGAGGAAGTCAAACGTATCTGTCTTGGTGATCGCCATCGCGATATCATTGCGTTGCAAAGTGCGTCGCTTGTTCTCTTCAGTGTGGATCCATGCCCGCAGACTCAACTCCAGAATGAACATTTCACACGCTTTGGCAAACAACACTGGAGCTTCTGCACTGATCATCTACTCGAGTTCATCATCTCGTCATGGCGTCAACGACAGTCACGGTGGAACGTACGCGAACGTCCTCGTCGGACTTCATGATCTTCTTGATGCGGGCAAGAGGGAGTTGATGTGTCTTGAAGTCTTGCACTTCGGGGTCGATCTGGGATATCTCGTGGATTTGAGATTGCCAGAACGCATGCAACTGCATTTGCTGCTGCTGAAGTTGTTGCTGCTGCAGTTGAAGCTGCTGAAGGTGCAGGTTGGGGTTTTGTTCGTCGTTCATTTCTTCACGTTGCATGGTCACTGTCGTTCCTAGAGAGGAGTCTCATGCGGTGGGGGTCAGGCCGCCGTGCTTCTTACCGCCGTGGTTTCCCCCTCTTTGAGTTTTTGAAATCGCCAATGCCGTTCGATATTGGCTGGATTGCAGCCAATAGATGCTCTTTCTGCCTTTTGAAGTCATTTTACGGAAACTCCGAATAATGAAGCATTTTATCCGTAATCCGAACAACTGCCATGATTGTAAGAGCACTTTCACCCAATCGCGTGTGTTTCAGTCCTCGAGGGCGAATCATGGGCAAGTGTATGTGCTTTTTAACCAATCATATTGCTAAGCGTTTGGGAACCGTGGCAGTCAGTGGATACGAAAATGGTCGGGTACAGTGAACCTCGGAAAAGCCGACACCCCTAAAAAACCGACCACCTCCAAAACATGATATGTTTTAATAAATACTTCCTCTGTTCGACTTTACTAACGACATTTTGAAAACGACTTTTTCCGCATTACTGGTGACATTAACAAGTGATTGGCGAACTATAAAATGCATGCATGTTATTGGCTTAAAACGCACGGTTGAAATTGCATCAACTTAGGTGAGCAGCGACACAGGGCACGAAACATTCGCCATCAAGGCACCTACACGTCTCAATGCATCCTTTCCCAAATGGGGAAGACGAAACTGGTTGTCCCCATTGTGTTCAATGACAAGTCTCATCACTGCCTGAAAGGTGAGGAACACATTCTCCAACTTCTCGATTTCAAGCACGTCGAACGCATCCAACGTCGCACAAATGACATCGTCCACGGTGCGACTGACGGTCTTGTATTGTAGGGACTGAATGGAAGCAAAAATGCCCAAGTCAAGAACGTTGAGATCAGGGCTGTTCGGCGGCTGCCGGCGGACAGCAAAGGTCCAGCCGTCCCGCGAGAAGTGCGCAAGGATCTCGTTCGTGATGGCACCGTGGGGGGTTGCGTTGTCGTGCTGTAGGAGGACGTGCTTGTTCCGACTGGGAAACTTCGCCATGATCGCAGGTAGGACACGGGTGATGACGAAGTCGCGGTACAGAACAGCATCGACATTGACCAACGTAGTCACCAGCGTACCCGCCGGACGGTTGCGTGAGCCACGGACAGCAGGTAAGCGCTTAACAGCAGGCCACATTCCGATCTTCCCGTTGAACATGACACCACGCTCCTCATCATACCTAGGACGCGCGACGGCCGCCAGGAACATTACTTTGGGAATGAAACGCTTGCTCTTGCACGCCCGCCGACTGAGAGTTTCGCCCGGAGTCAGGTAAATCTTCCGTTGATCCTTGTCTGCGTTGAACCACTTCTCATCCAAGTGTACAACGTCCCAAAGGTCACAGCACTCACGTTCGGTTTCAGGGTCATGGCGCGGGGTTTCGGGAAGACCGGCTTGTCCGGCGGAATCCGCGAGCGCGAAGTGCGAGCGGCAAAATGCGAGGCGTTCTCGTTTGTTCTCATCCGTGAGCAGCGGCTTTAAGCGAGACGAGCGGCGTTGCAGGATTCCTTGCTTGAGACAGCGGTGGAGCGTTCCAACGGGGATGCCAGTGGCCTCCGACATGTCGCGAAGAGTGGTGCGCTGGCTTTCGGGCAGCTGGCGAACATGGATTATGACCTCTGAACTGTCGTAGACAGCCTTGCGGCCGACTCGACCGCTCTTGCGTGGAGTCATCGTGTCGCACTTGAACTGGTTCCAGACCTTGGCCACGGTGGACCTGTGCAGCTTCATTGCTGCCGCCGTTACGTTGATTGCACCATGCGCAAGCTTGCCGAACTTCACGAAATGTTGGAGTCGCCGTACAACATCCATCTTTCGTTCATACGTCAGCTCGCGGCCGACTCGCGCCGTTTCCATGTTAGCGATGCCAACAGGTCCCGTAGTTTTATAAAATGAATTTTGGATTTATAAAAATTTTCGTGAGGCGGTTTGACGAAGTGAATTTTCGGGGGTAAAACTTCACTTGCGCGCCTTGCAGTCAATAGACACCCCCTCTAATTTTTCATCCTCTTTCGAACATGATATGACTCATCGAATTTGGACAAGTCATTATTTTTGGGGGTCATTCGAAAGTGAAATGTCGCTAGTAAAGTCGAACAGAGGAAGTACTAAAGCCTGTATATTTCAATATCATTTCATAATTGGCATCCTTTTTGACCAATTGTGGTGCAGATAGAAGAAGAACTGTGATTGACTGAATGAAATTCTACTAGTTATAGCCAATCAAGTTGTACTAGCTCATTGAATTTTAATTGATTTTATTTGACCACCATGCATTTTCAGGATGAAACCGTGTCGGTTTTTTCCAGGTTTCAATGTAGCGTGGAGTGGCCAATTTTGCAAGTTCGTGAATCCAAATTCCCGACGTTAAACTTCGGATTTGAAATGCTTCGAAGGTCGATCAAGTAGGAAATTGGACTGGAGAAGCTCGTTTTCCCTGCGGACTTTCATAACAAAAGCAGAGCAAAGTTGTCAAGTGGAGTGCGTGGGACGCAAGGACAAGAAACAGTCCTTTAGACTGAGGGGATGGACGACGCACATCTAAAGGAAGTCGACAGGCTTTGCCCATATGAGGTTGGACACGGCAAAGTCACTGCAACTTGGGTGCAGGTGTCCTCGGCCTAACCTCAGTTCGGGTCTCACGTGCAGGAATGCGTGTGAGACAGAGTGAATGCAAAGTAGGGTAGAGGTTTGCCCCACGGCCCGCATTGAAGGCAGTCACTTTTGGATTGTAATCGAGTCTACCGACGAGAGCTCGGTACCTGACTTTGAGTGTCGGCGCAGACAACAAAGATTTCTTTACCTATCTTTGGACAAGCTAGCAAGCAAGATGCATGGAGGCCCCCACGAGTGGGGCTGTATTTCAACTCGGCATGGAGCTGCCACGGAACGACGGCGACGAAGCGGGATCAGGGCGCCCTCGCTCTCGTTCGAACCAATCAGCCAATCCGGACGTTACTAGACATGAAGCAGGACGACGGTCAATGCCGGCCCCGAGCAAGAGCAAGGGTGGAACGTTTGTTCTGTTCGCCCAAGGGTCGGTATAACCTGCCGAGGTTGACGAAGTATTATTATTCACGAAGAGGTCGTTCCTCGAGACACACAGGTGGCCCGGCTACCCAGTTGCGTCAAAAGAAGACGACGATATGGGTGAAGGTGACGGAGTTCTGCAAAACGCGCCTGCCTTGCCAAAGAGCCCTTTGTTCAAGGAATCTACAAAGTGAAGAGAGACGTATGTCATGGCGGCGTACAACCTCTACATCAGCCAAACAAATGCTTTAACAGCCAATGGGGTGCGTCCGTTTATCATGCCCGTACGCGCGTGTACCGAGCCCGCGACAAAGCAACGTATCGCTGAATGGGACACGGGAAAGGATCCAGAAGATGTGATGGACGACGAATGTTTCGCATGGTTCATGTTGGCGTACCAGGTGGACCCGCTAGCGTTAGATTCCCTGAAGAGACAAATCAAGGCGGTGGTAGTATTCGACATGTCCATCACCGACGCCGATCCGCGCATCGGCATGCTGGACGGCATGTCATCGGCCATCCGTCGCAACTGTCAAGATTGGGTGATTCGGGAAGAGAGCGCTGCCATCGTCAAGATTATTGTGGATGACATCAAACCGACGACATTGCATCGAGCGGTGGCGGCGTAGATGACGTTTGCACGGAACAAAGCGTTGAAAAAGAATGTTTACTGCATTGTGCGATAGCTGTGCGAGTTTGCAGTCGGTCACGAGCGTTACGTCGGTTACGAAGAAGAATCGAAGCCGAGCGTCACTCCCGACGCGCCAAAGACGACGCAAAGCGGCAAAGGAGCTACAAGGCCGGGTGGACTCCTGTCGAGGCGGCAGTCGGTGAGCTGAAGCTCGACGCCGTCCGACTCAGCCGAGTTGTATCCCCGAGGTGGTTGCCTGAAGTGTAAGTCACCTGACCATAGAGTGCGGAACTGTCCTGCGGTGGCCAAGGACGAAGCTGCAGCTTTCGTGAAGAGCCATGCCAAAACACTGGCGCAACGGCGCGGGGACACCTCGTGGAAGTCCCAAGATAGTCGTGTCGCGACGATTCGCAACGCGACCGCTACATCTGGTAGAGAACGTTTCCTTACTGTGGTGAACGGCGTCGTGTCAGTGAGCGCATCACTGCTAAACTCCGGAGCGGATCTGAAGGTGGCGTCCGGCGGGCTTGTGTCGGCGCTGCTAGCAGTTGGTGCATCGTCGGAGATGTTCGAGATGGGATCGATCAACCTTCAGCGCTATGGAAAGGACAGTCGTCCCATCAAGGTGACCAAACAAGTTCGCCCGAGACGCATAGAGTTTCAAACAGCCTATGGTCCGCTGTTGCTTCGCGGGCTGCTATGGGTCGATGAGACGGTTCCAGCAGTCGAGCTGAGCTGGGTTTGCCCGTTATGAAGATACTTGGATATACCGACCAAGCTTTGCTCAAAACTCGCGACAGAAATACGCTGTCTGGAATTATTCGGAGGAGTCAAGGGTGATGCCAAGCACAGTTATGCATCGGACGCTGCGGTTCGGCCATGTAGACGACGACATCGACGAGGACGAAGGGATGTGCTACGCAAGACCTGACCTCAGTGGATCGGCTGACACGGCGCAAGTGAAATCCCTCCTAGCGTCCAAGGTCGACGCTGCATCACGGAAGGTATGGTGCCCGAGCATGTGAGCGAACTTCAAGCGATGCTATTGACAGTGGTGGGCGGCATCGAGGGGACTTCAACAAAAACTATAAACTTTTGGAAAAAGTTCACAACGTGCATCCATTATCAATTTTTCCTTGACCTGAAACTTTATAGGAGCCACGGGCATAAACACGCAACCTTGTCAAATATTGTATGTCTCAGAACGCCTCCAACAATCACAAATAGAAGGAAATAGAAACATACGATGCATTTGGACATTCATTCACAACTGTGGAGCAGAATATTTTGCAAGGTATTGTGTTTCATGATTATTTGATTGCACGGTTCGAACCAGCGCGCGATGGAGATTCGTTTGACGTATTCCAAGTCTATCGTAGCATTTTTTTTCACACGAAGGAGTAAAAGTCCCCTCGATGACGCCCGCCACTGTGAGGATGTGTTTCCTGTCAACTTTGGTCGCGACCCCCTGTGTGAGTCGAGCCGTTCAAGGTTCATGTGAAGCTGGGAGCAACGCTGTGAAGTCTGGCCTGCGAAGTTATCCCCCGACGCATATGGCATTTTTGGAACAGCACGTGCGGGATTTGGAAGTATCTGGTCTAGTTTGCCGCAACACACGATCACGCTGGGCAGCAGCGCCAAGAATCGTTCCGAGGTTGGTCCCAGGTGACCTCCGCATGACGATCGACTTGGCCAATCAATGCATGCATGGAACCAATGTCGTGGCCCATGCCCAATCATGAGATCACTATGTCAGTTCTGCAAGGCTCGAAGGTCGTTTTTACATTGGACTGGATGAAAAGTTATTGGCAACCGCCTCTCCACCTCGACTCGCAGGAGTATTATTCTTTCAAGAGGCCACTTGGTGTCGTCACACCGACCCGTGTCCTGATGGGACGGTCCGACGCGGTAGTCTACTTCCAAGGTGTTGTTCACGAGCTATTTGGGATTTCTTGATGCACAGTATCGTAGGCTGGCTTGACGACCTGTTGGGATACGCCGCCACTACTGAGGATCTGCTGCTGCTGCGACGCGTAATTGAAATATGCCAAGCGTACGTTCTCTTGTGTGCGTTTTACACGACAAAGACAATCTGGTGTGGAAAAGAAATTTCCGAGGTGTCGTACACGTTCTTGACCGGGTCCAGGGTCTTTGCGACCTCATCCACCGCAGACGGCAGCTGAATTACAGGAATTTCTGTGTGCAACAAATTGGATGCGTGCGAACATCCCAATGTACACCGAATTGGTTGCACCTCTGGCGAAGCTTGTCGACATTGCTGCAAAAGCCGACGACTCACAAAAAAACGACTCTTGCGCGGGTACTTTTCAGTTCCGTGGGATGGTGCGGCAATCACCTGAAGTGTTTCGACGAAGTCAAGTTAACGCTGCGTCGTTTGGTTCCGTTGGCCCACCCTGATCCCGAAAAGATGGTGTACCTATACACTGACGCAAGCGAGAAGTTTTGGGGGGCAATCGCTAAGCCAGTATCGGGCGAGGAGTTGGCACTGCCTGCGCCAGAGCTGCGCCACGAACCTTTGGCGTTTTTGAGTGGAGGCTTCTTTTTCCACGATCGCTGGCCGATCGTGGAAAAAGAAGCGTTTGAGGTGTTCGAGTCTTGTAAACGTCTGGAGTACCTCCAGATACGCCCGGGAGGTTTCCGACTGTTTACCGACCAGCGCAACCTTGTGTACATGTTCAACCCGCTGGCATCGAGCACGGGTATGGCCAAGTACCAGGCCCACAACCTACGACGTTGGGCTCTCACGATGTCGACGTTTCCGTATGTGATTGAGCGTGTGTCTGGAGAAGACAATTTGTGGGCAGATCTTCTCAGCCGATGGGGAAGCCCACGCCTTGATGAGCTAGCAGCACGAATTTCCAAGTTGGGGCTGGTGTCGCTTTGAAATCGACGGATTTCTCGTGGTGCTTTGTTGATGAAATCCTGCAAGTTCAGCATGCTTACGCGACAGTGAAGCCTGTACGACTTGGGCGAAGTCAAGCAATGTTTCGTGACGAAGACGTCCAAGATTTGGATTCCAGACGATGCGTTGGACCGGCAGATGAGCCTATGCGTAATTGCCCACGCCAGCCACCGTCGCATTGAGGCGACAACTGCATGTGTAGCATCCATGTTTGAATGGAAAGTTTGGCGCGTGACGTTGCGGAATTTGTTCGCGAATGTTTGCACTGTATGATAGTCGACGGCGACGTGGTGCCACGACCATGGGGAGAGACACTGTATGCAACAGCCCCAAACGAACTGATCCACTTAGATTGGATTACACTCCCTCGCGCCGTCTCTAGCGACAAGTACGTCTTGGTGATCAAAGACGACATAAACGTATTTATCCGTTTGCATGCAAGCGCTACGGCGACGGCTCTGGCGACGACCGAAGCACTGATGGAATGGTTCACTTTGTTCGGCGTACCTAAGCTCTGGGTTTGGATTGTAGCTCTCATTCAAAAACGAAATCGTGGACAAGTTGCGCCGATCGATGGGGGCGCATAACCACCTTGTCACCCCTCATTGCCCTTGGGCGAATGGCAGTGTCAAGGTGATGAACCACCTCATTGTACGTCAGTTGGAAACATTGTGCAGCGAAGTGCGAATGAAGAGTTCGGAATGGCCAAGTTTGCTGCCTATGGTCCAGTCAGCCCTAAACCAACAACCTGCTGACCGACTCGGCGGCGTGGCACCAATAACTGCCTTCACGGCATTGTCATCATCACCTCCGCTGACAGCTCTTGTTCGACAGGGTGGTGTAGAGCCGGCCACAATCGATTGAGTCAACGCGCAGCGAAAGAGCACATAGACAACTTAGCAGAAGCGCTCATCGTGATGCACAAACGAATTGCGGATATCGCATCGTCGAAACACGCGAAGGAGCAAGCGCCGTAACCGATAACAATCCACCCAACTTGCGAAGTTTGCGCTTGGTGATTTTGTATTGGTGGCACGGGCGACGCAGCATCCACGAAAATTGACACTTCGCTGCAATGGACCGTATCGTGTTGCCAAGGTGATTTCCGACCATTTTATGGAAGTCCAATGGCTCATCTCACCTGCTACGACGTGGTTGCATCATGCCTGCCTCGTACGCATGTATTGCAAAGGCTACCGTGACTTGGGCGAAGATCAGGCGGCACAGATCGCGTTTGGAGACGACGGCTATTTATGTCGAGCAGCTCGAAGACTTGCTTGCGTATCCACGACGGCACCTGGCAGGTGCAAGTCAAGTGGCTCGGACTGGAAGACACTGAATCTTCTTGGGAGCCAGCGTTGACAGTGTACGAAGATGTACTGGTGATCTTTCGGCGCTGGGTGACGGCTCATGACGACGACTACGCAGGCATCCCTTGCGTTGAAGGAGTACGACCCCAGCATCACCGACCGAGTTGCCAAGCCCGATGCGACAGGGTGCTGAAGGACTTAGATCGAGACAGCACCATCTGCACGTATGCGTCTGGTGTTGAAGGACCGAAAGACAACTTTGTGAAGGTCAAGCAATAAATAGTTGGGAGTCGGGTTGACATTCAGAAACACCGCACACGAAACGCGACAGCGAAATATAGTGGTTGGACGAGTTGGCGCTGGCTGGCGAGAAATCCTGTGTAGATACGGAGAAAAGACCGATTAAGAGGTTGGCACCGTTGTTATCAGCGATATGGGTGTCCTCCAAGAGGGACAGAGTGAACAACTCTGTGAAAAGACTTGGATTTGAGAGCAAACAGAACGAGGAAGGCTATGCCGATCACATGCAGCGCCTAAACTTTGAACACAATGATCAAGATTTCAGGAGGAACGAGCAAAAACAACTCTCATCGCTGCTGAAAAAGTTGATTGATCCAAATTAGCAAACTAAAAAACTGAATAATCTTTGATGTTTAGATAGTCTCGAGTCAGTGTTGCAGTTAACAGTACAGTACTAAGTTCCCAAAACTTAGTACTGATAACTGGGCAGCGGTATTTATCGTTTTTTGAAGTTGTTTGACGAATTAGCAAACTCAACCAATAAATTGTTAAAGTTTAGACATACCTCTAATGTTGGTGTGTTTCAGAATAAAGACACTTTTCTCATTGCCGCGGCGGCAACAGGTGAACCAATATGTGAGGAGAACGGCTATCTTGTCCAGCGTTGTCATCGGTGATGTGCCCAGACACATTTTATTGCGGCTGCACATAAGTGGCTAGAATCGATGAACTTGAACATAGAACGATTCAACACTGACCTATACAAGGTTATATTTTTATCCACGATTTGTGGCCCGATTGCCTTTAGACACAGCAAAGGGAGTTTCAGAGTGTGCAGATTGTTCTATAATCTTTCAGCATTTCCCAAAATTTGTTGAACCATTATGACTTCAAATTTACAAACTTTAGTGAAATGAGACGTAATATCGATAGATCTCACTGAGAGAAAGAGAAGTTACGTCTCGTATTTAAAGTCGGAAAAGAATTGATTGCAAGGGTATTTCTCCAGATCGTCCAACTATTGGAAAAAAGTCCTCGTCCAAGTTGAACGGTCGTGAGGTTTTATATACAAAATCGTCCGCCGCGGCATGATTGGCTAGAAGTCTCATGTGCTTAAAAACCTTGCCCAGCAACTCGTATCGTCTGAACTTCCCTGCGACAATGCAGGGCCTGCTCCGTCGAAACGCCTGCGAGCGCACCCACCGTCACGTTCACTGGATTTTTCTATGGACATTGACATGGGTGTGCTCGCAGAAGCCGGACAAGCCGATACTCCTGGTCTGCCGGCTCTTTGTGCTGCTTCTCTTGCCGCTCCCGCTGGTCAAGACCCTTCTGTCTCTGGCCAGCTGGATATTCCAGACGGCGATTTGTTGAACTTACTTCCGTCCTCATTGGGAATGGAAGTATCTTCAACATATCCCCGTCTGGACCCCCCCACCCCCGCTCAACCTGCCGACAGCCCTGCTGGCCGCTCAAAAAAGCCGGTTATTGGCCGTTCTTATGCGGGGGCTGCTTCTGCCACGAAGACCCCACCACCGAACGTCGACACCTGGCGGCGCGAATGGTATACCACCCACCAACGTGCCGCTAACGCTCTCCCTGAAGAATTAATTCTTCAAGCGCTCCAGGCGTCGCCGCAAGAACGTCGCGCTCTTGTTCCGTCTTCCCCTTGTGCCAGGGAAGACTCTCAAGAGTTTTGGATCCCCGCGGCCAACCTTACTCAAGCCTTTCCACTGGAGGTCATCATGAACTCGCTTTTTGAGTTCTCTGACCCAGCCTGGCTTACGGCAAGACCCCATTTGTTTGGCTTTGCCATGGTGCGTGGCAAAGGTGTGCAACTTTTCACCAACAACCTGGAAATCAGCGGACTTTTGCGCAACCTGGTTGTGAATATTTGTGGCTATGACCACATTATTCACGCCCCATCATTGATTGGGCAATTTTACTGGGTCCAGCTCCACCGCGTGCCCACGGCTATCACCCCCCTGGACGTTTTCGACTTTTTCGAAAATCGCGGTTGCTCTCCGATGTCGGTTTTCCCAACTATTTCGGCAGGAACTTTGCACTCCAACTCGCTCAAGGTAATTTTCAACTCCAAGCAAGTGCCCGGTTTCCTTTGGTCTCAGCACAAGGAAGATGAGCCGCTACGCGAGATCATTTTAGCTGCCGACATTTGTTGTGCACCAGTTCTCAGCGCTCATCGAATTTGTGCCGCCCAGTCTCAAGGGGAAGCGGCACAAATTTCCCGAGCGTCCTACCAAGGCAAACACCCCACCATCGCAGCAACAAGTGCTGACGGCGTCGCCAGCCCCGCCAGTGATGGCTCAGTCCCTGACTACGTCCAAGAACCCCCCTTCAATCTGGCACAAGAAAATCAAGGCTCGTCTTTTTCCTGTGCCGACTGAAGACAACCAACTTGAAGAAATTCAAGTTACAACCAAGGCTGACCCTGCCAACGCGTCTCGGCACTGGGCAGTCCCCCTGGCGAATCGCTACGAGCTGCTTACCCTCGACGGCAACCAAGGAATTCCCGACTACGACGTCAAGGTATTTATTAATCCTCAAACTCTAGGGATTAGTATGAAGACGCCAAGGCCGAATTTCAAGAAATTGGCCAAGCGACTTGCAAACCCCCTTCA